CCAACTGAGAAGGTGCTAAATACAGGCAACAAGATAGGAGGCAAGGTTTGCAACAGCACTGCCAACAAGAAAGGGTGCTCGAACTACAGTGATGCTACCAAGAGGAGACTAGAAGATGGGTGGCCCAAAAGCATGAGCAGCGCACGGCGCCAAGTAATCCTAGCAAGTTCTCTGCGCAAGTTCCTCTGAGCAAGTTGTTGGCGCGAGTTCCTTTGAGCAAGTTCTCCAAGCAAGTTCTTGGCACAAATTATTTGAGCAAGTTCTCTCAGCAAGTTTCTCTGAACAAGTTTCAACGAGCAAGTTGTCTGAGCAAGCTCTCTGCGCGCAGCGCTTGCCGCTGCAACTTCTAGCGCCACTTGCTGGTGCTACTTGCTAGTGCCACTGGCTAGCGCTAGTGGCTCGTGCATCTCGTTAGCGCTATCTTGCTCGTGCTACTGGCTTGCGCCATTTTGCTAGTGGCATTTTGCCAGTGCAACTCGCTAGTGCTATCGCTAGTGCTATCGCTAGTGCTACTTGCTTGTGCAACTTGCTGGTGTTATGCGCTGGAGGTCTTTCCTGCAGCGCCGCTTCATACGATTTTGGCTAAGACGGTGGCTGGCCCGCACAAGCCCTCTGGCCGCTTGGCTGGGCTCTGCTGATGCGCCACAAGGATGCAAACCAGTCAGTTATGGCCACTTGGCTGGGCTCTGCTGATGCGCCACAAGGATGCAAACCAGTCAGTTACGGCCACTTGGCTGGGCTCTTCTGATGCGCCAGAAGGATGCAAACCTGCACTTGACCAAGAAGCGCGGCACTGGCTTCCAAAAAGCAGCTCAGTATCCTGAGCAAAGCAATCAGCCGGATGTCCCAAAATATTTGTTTGTCGAGAATACAGACACATTTAAGGCTCGACAGGTCTGCTCATGCGACCAAGAAGTGCGGGACTGGCTTCCAAAAAAGCAGCTCAGAATCCTGAGCAAAGCAATCAGGCGAATGCCACGGTATTTGTTTATCGAGAACAACAGTACATATTTAAGGCTCGGCAGGGCTTTGCTGATGCGCCAGAGTGCAAACCTGCACTTGACGAACAAGTGCGGCGCTTCCCAAAAGCAGCTCAGAATCCTGAGCAAAGTAATTGTTTATCGAGAACAAAATGGACACATTGAAGGCTCGACAGGGCTTTGGTGATGCGCCACACAAGGATGCAAACTGGCACTTGGCCAAGAAGTGCGGCACTGGCTTCCAAAAAGCAGCTCAGAATCCTGAGCAAAGCAATCAGGCGGATGTATATTTGGTTACCGAGAACAAAATGGACACATTTAAGGCTCGACAGGGCTCTGCTGATGCGCCACAAGGATGCAAACTTGCACTTGGCCAAGAAGTGCTGAAACCAGTCTACATATTTAACGCTCGACAGGGCTCTGCTGATGCGCCACAAGGATGCAAACCTGCACTTGTCCAAGAAGTGCAGCACTGGCTTTTAAAAAGCAGTCAGTTTCCTGAGCAAAGCAATCAGCCGGATGTCACGATTTGTTTGTTAAACGACAAGAAAATAAGGCTGCTCCAACGCTGCTCCACAAGGATGCAAACCTGCACTTGGCCAAGAGAGAGGCACATCCTTTGCACGCAGTCTATCAGCAAAATCTGCCACATGCCCTTTCCCCGTTGCGAAGCATTGTTGCAAGTGGTTCCTGCTGACTTGTCGAATCTATGTTTCTAGCTTGATGCTTCTCAATTGCGCTTGCGAGCTGCTGCCACGTGAGCCGAAGGGAGCCGAGGGGAGCCGAACGTGCCAAGCAAGAAACAGGTTCAGTTGGTGTTGCCCGAAAGCTTCATTTTTCCTGTTGAGGGCTGTAAGCAGGAAAACAGCCAGCTGACAGCAACGAGCGCAGAGACTGGGAGAAACAGGGGGGAGTCACAGCGTTGTCGGCCTCGGACATGTGCACCACGAAGTTGGAGGCCGTGCCGAGGCGATACCGGCAGACGAAGAGGAGCTCCCGGCCGGGGGTCAGGTTGTAGGTGCGCACGATGTTCCAGAGGTTCACTGCCAGGGTCAGGGTGTAGCCGTCCACAGCATCTGGCATCTGACCGCAGAGACTGTGGAAGACAGGCAGAAGACACGACCACGGAGCCAGCATCGCAGCATCCGCAGCTCGCAGAGACTGGGAGATACGATTCAGCATCAGACACAGGGAGACAAGCGGGAGCGTCTCAGCATCTGGCATCCGACGGCAGACAAACAAGCGGGAAACACAGAAAGACAAGCGGGAGACACGACCTGTATCTGGCACACGACCCCGGAGCCAGCGTCACAGCATCTGGCATCTGACCGCAGAGACTGGGAGACACAGGGAGACAAGCGGGAGACACGACCCTGGAGCCAGCGTCACAGCATCTGGCATCTGAGCGGAGAGACTGGGAGACAGGGAGACAAGCGGAAAACAGGACCCCGGAATCGGCGTCACACTTTCCTATTCTCCATACCTCAAGTTAGAACCCCAATGCTTCGCTGTTTGGGGAACAATCGGAGTGTTGACCACTTATTTCAAGCCTTTGAGTTTGCAGGAGTGCCACCAGCACCGCATGAAGAAGGTCTGGGGTGTGATGGGGCCCCGGTAGCGGGAGAAGGAGAGCAGCTCTGCCTCAGGAAGGCTTCGGTGTGGGCCAGTGCAGATTGAACGCAAAGTCATGATTGTTGTTTGAAATCATTTTACATGTTTGCGTATTGTGGTTTAGTGGGAAATTCCCACTTAACTGCTAAAATTTAATATTTTTGCTCCCCTTCCAACGTCAACCAAGAAATATTCCCTCCCAACACAGACCCCCTGAAAAGGAACATGGTCTTCCAGGAACTCAAGTCCAGGTTCTATGTGGCAGGGCAATCAGAGATGTGTGCTTTTTGGGTTTGGCTAAGAATGGATGGGTTCCACTGGTTTAGATTGTTTGTATTCCAGTTGACGGGGCTCTTGTTTGGTTTTTTCTTGGCGGTTTGAAAAGGGAAACCAAAAGGAGAACTGAAGCCGTTGTAGGGGTCCCCTCGGGAAAAAAACACACCCGTATAATCAGGTATTTAATTGGTTCACGGGAGAGGAACCCCAGTTCTTGTTGGAGCAACATGGGGAAAACCCCCCAACTAGGGGTAAGGTGATATTATGGGCTAAATTACTACACACACAAACAGGGACTTATCATTGTCTTATACTCATGACTAACTTTTGAAGTACCCCAAAACATATTTCTACTTATTTGGGTTTTCAATAGTAGGGTTTTGAATAGTAGATGGTTTACTAGATGGCCCCAAAACCACTACGATTTCACATTGCTTATCCGGGATTGGCAGGGATGTTCAGGGTCAGCTTTGGGAATGAAAAGAGGCGGCTTTACTCCAAATCGCCAAGGGAAAGCGGGAATGGTTCTGTATGGTCAGTTTGGGAGTGAAAATAGATGAAACCAACCGGGTTTCAGTTTGGTCCTGTTTTCATTTACTGCCCTTTTTGCAGTCGGGAGCCTTCAGGTTTGGTCAAGCAAGCTTCAACAGGTGATTGCTTCTCCTCAAGTAAACATAGAACCCCAAGAAGCCATCAAGATGAAGAGGAAGACATCAGGAGGAAACTCCTTTCAACATGATCTGGGGCGCGCCTGCTTGGATTCATGTTGCATGCGAGTACCCGTGTCGTGCATTTCATTGGTGTTCTTCTTCCTTTTTTTTCTCCCCGTCAGACAATGGGGGTTTGCGGTTGCTTCCCTTCAACCTACGGTGATTTGGATGGCAAATGAGTTGCCAGAACTTTGGTCCCGGCCTTCGGCTGGCGCCGGCCCAACATGCCGGCGCTTCGTTGCTTTGAGCTCCGCGGAGAAACTTCTGCCGCGTGGGGGGGCGGATGACGCCGCTCTCGAGGTGCGGTTTTCGGCCCACTTGCTCAAAACCGACTTGGAGAATAAAAGGTGAGTCCAGACCAGAAATATGTGCGGCCAGAAGCCCTTCTGATTGTTTTCCATTTTGGGTAGATGTGTTTGTTCTCCATGAGTTTGGGGTAGATGTGGGGAATTAAATACCAGGTGTTGATTGTGCCATTTCGAAGCCTGGGAGAACTGGCAAGACCGATTGGTGAAACGAGGGGATGTCTCAAGGGTATCTCGGAAGCATTTAGTAAATTTAGCCCTTTTCTTTGCCAAAGCCCCTTGGGTTTGGCTTGGTTTGGAAATTCGGGCTACCTGCCCCACGTTGCTTAAAGACCTGGGGTTCCTTCTCTGAGTGAAAGGAGGATGCCAAATCAAATCTGCAGAAGGTGTTTAGTTTGCTTGCCGCTTGTTTTTTGCCAGCGACCCGAAAGCCGCACGGAAGCTGTGGACATGTCTCTCACGCGATGGGACCTGTGGCGCCGTGGTTAACGCACGCACGCGACTGGCAGGGGTGCTCCTCTAGAGGGGGAAGACTGGACCATGTCACTCGATTGTCAACCTGGAATGATTGTTCTGGGAGTGTGCCTTTGCAGAGTAGCTGTTTTGGGGTTGGTTGCAGGGAAACCAAAAACACGCCTCCCATTTTCCGCCCCCTCACTTCCATGTTCGCTTTGTGCAAGACGAGAATGGGAAAACAACCCTGCTGCCGGCTAGCGGCAGCCCACCCCTCTGCCTTCAGGGGATCATGTCATATACATCTCTGGGGAGCAACCCTGCGGTTCGCGGTCTTTGCGCGAGAAGCAAAAAAGGTTGCTCTGGGATATGGAGGCCAGCTTTTTGTGACAAAGAAGCCCATCCAGGTGGTTGTTTTTTCTGTTGGTCCTCTTTGTCCAAAGTGGGGTTCACTGAAAACCTCAAGGGGGTTTGGGTACCAAAGCCCGTTTTTGGCTAACATCAAGCAACCTTGAATTCGTTCGGATTTGGATTTGAACCCCTGGTTCTAGCTTGGTTTTTTCTCTGGGAGACCACCCAAGCTGCACACACCGCTCCGGCCAAGACGAGACCCAAGCTCCACACACCGCTTCGAAGGGATCATTTGTCGATGCCACTTGCGCCAGGTGCTGGCAGAGCAAGAGCGTAAAGAGGCGGAGCAAGAGGTGTGGCCCTCAGCCTTGCGAAGCCCGGCGTGTGTCGCCGGGCCCCGGTCCCCCGGTCCCCCCCCCCGCCACACCTGTGGCTATTTTTGGGGCGGGAGAAAAGGGGAAAGCACCAGGAAAACCACAACTTGGAGGGGTTCAACATGGGTCGCCCCCCGTTTCATGTGGGTATGTCTTTATGTTGAGGGTACCGTTTTTGTGGGGTGGGAAAAAGGGGAAAGCAGAAGGAAAACCACAATTTGGAGGGGTTCAATAATATGAAAACAAAGCCATGTGTTGTGTAGAACCCCCCTCCTCACTTTAAGGCGGTTTCTTTTTGGACACCTTCCTGTTCTAATAGGGGGTCGCCCTTGGTGGAGGGGAGGCGGAGGGGGGGCCACTTTGCACTTGGTACCGTCATGGGTGACAGACCTTTTGTTGTTTCTCAGCTCGAATTCAGAGCGGGAAATGGTGTTTGTTTGCTCATGGCTGACACCTTGCGCCTCTCCCAGTCAGGTATTCCTTAATTTGTGGTGTGGATTGGTGGAACTGGGGTTTGACCGCCAGTTGCTTCTGAAGCCAAGTAGAGAAATGTACCAAACCCAACCTGCGAACCATCAAACCAGACCTCTGCTTAAGGGCAGGGGGCAGGGTGATCTCAAGGACTGTGTGGATGTTTTTGGAGAATTCCACCAGCAAGCACAACATGTTGTTTGGCGCAGCCAGCTGTTGCTGCACTTGCACCACTGTTTGAAACACGCAGCTTGCTTTAGGAGTAGATTCAATCTGCACATTATGAAGAACATCGAATCGTGCGTCAAGCTAGCCCACCCATCAAGATCCTGTACTTGAAAATTCCACATGCAGCTTAGGCCTGGCGATTGCCTAGTTTGATTCAGTTTGTGTAGGCTGCAATTGACCAGCCTTCACGAGTTTCACTTGGCAGCCTTCAGCGAGAGTGTGTAGCTTCGAGGATTCCTTTACTTGCTGAAGGTCCGATTTGGCCGCACGCAACAAACCGCCTATGCCACCTCCAGCCCAGGCCGTTGTCCTCAAAAAGCTCCTTGGCTCGGTGTGTGAGACGTCGCGGCCGCATTTTTTAGCTGGCTAAACCTATGTGGGTGTGTCGACAGAAACGAAAAGAACAAACACAATCCTCTTGGTGTCCCTTTAATATTGTACCCTCCAAAAAGACGAGCCGCCCATGTGAGGCATGTTTCTGACGGATTCCAGTCAGACTAATAGCATTCTTCAAGAATTCGGAGCTTTCCATGTTTGATTTCTGCAATTCTGTGTTTTAGTAGGTGGTTCTACTACCTTGTTTCATAAGGCTTATACTATAGTAAGGCTTAGAGTATCCTTAGTATCTGTTTTTTTAGTCAATTGGTTTTGGTCGTTGCTCATGTAGCTGGCTGCGGCAGTGTATTTTCCCGTGTGATCTGTCTTTGGTTTGCGTCATGCATGAAGCCGCTCTTTTAGGGCGGTTCAACTTGGACTGAATGCAGGGTACAGTTCACAGAGAGGAGCTGGATTTCTCAAATAGTGTTCCGTGCAGAAACAAGAAACAGCCCAACTGCTTTCTTATTGAGTTCAACCAAGGCGATTGCGCATTCAACATGAGTGCTTTTCACAAGGCGAGTCCCTTTTGGGTGTGCTGAATGTGAAGGACATGAGACTGAATAAAAAGTAAATCATGGTTCTCTCTTTTAGTCCGATGTTTTTGCTTCAAGAGGAAGCAAAGGGAAGCCACCATTTGGGGGGCAGGAGTAGACAGAGAGCCTTGCTTTCCGGAATTCCAAAACTGAGTTGTTTCCGGTGGCTTCTTGCACACACCCCATGAGGGCATCAGTGACACAAGGAGTTATAAAGACACACCTCCATGAATTTATCTTTGCAGGGGGTTCCTCACACATGGTTGGCACCCTTCATTTTGAAGTCCTTTTCCAACCGTCCGAAAAGGACGGAGAACCATATGGGTCAATGGTTACTCAACCAATACTCAAGGGCATTGTCAGGTAGGGTGTTTGGTATGCATGGTTCTGTACCGTCAATATAAGCTTGTAAGGAAGTATACACCACGTACATGAGTGGTGGCAAACCTTACATCCAATGCCCATTCCAGAAGAAGCTCTTACACACAAACAAAGGGCTTCTACTTTCTATGCCGCTGTTTTTGGGAACCTGTTGACTAGTGGAGCTACTGCCAATGTGTGTGGCGAGATTCTGGCGAATAAACTTTGCCAATCCCGTGGGCTTGCCATAGTTGGGGAGTGTCGCTTCAGTTTGTAAGTGTTGTGGTTTCCCTTGGTGACCTTCCGTAACCGCTCCCAAACCCAAAACCCGAGAAGAAAAAGAACACTTTGTGTTTCAAACCACCAAAACACCAAAAAAAGAAGAAACACAACATACATTGTGTTTCAAACCACCAAAAACCCACAAGAAAGAAGAAAAACAAAACACATTGTGTTTCAAACCACAAAACACACACAGGCTCATTGGCCTTGGGTGTACAAACAGCCTAGTCTTTGGGGTCTGCCATAATTCTAGCCGTACCCCTCCCCCGTTTCCCTCCTCATGGATCATTCTCTTCGGAAAAAGAACAACAGAGAGACAGACTCAGACCCCACAAATTGTTCGTTGGGAAACATGTTTCCCCATTTTTTGCTTATTGCGGTAAAGTGGTTGAAATCCAACCACTTTGCTCCCCTTGCAACGTCAACCAAGCCCAGGGGAAAGCCCTGTCTTGGAGAGTTGTTTTTTGTAGATTGACCGATTGTCTAATCGAGCCTTCTTTGGGAAATGTCAAATGGCCCCTTGTCGATGGATCGTAAATCCAAGAGTAATATAAGGCTCTTCTGAAGATGTGCAACGCAAATATGGACTGCTCCTTGGGTGCCAACAGCTACGAGTGCAATTCAAGAGGAGATTCAACTTGTAATTAGACGATCGCTGCAAACAATTCAAGCTGCCTCCAAGCTCGGGCCTGAAAGGAATTTCTTCCTTACCATGGGAAACCATAAGTTTGCTGGTTTTTGCAGAGTCATTACAGGGTTTCTTGGGTGGTGCGAAACGGATTTCGCTATCCACAGTATGCTCACAAGAATTTTACTGGCGCCGTTTGTTGGCGGGTTTTCGGCCAAGGAAGAATAAGAAGATTGAGGACAACGTGACCCTCTCCCAAGGCGCCCAAGAGAAGGCTCGATGCGATGCAAAGAATTGGCAGGGGTCGGTTCCCACTCTTGAAAGATCTCGTGATTTGGAAGGCCTTCCGTACAATTCGCGGAGTATTTGGGGGTGAAGGAACCCGAGTTCCTTTGGGAGCCAAAATGGGGAAGTTCCCCCCCAATGTGCACACTAGGGGTAACTAGGGGTAAGATGAACCCTGTGGGTAAGATGAACCCTGTGGAATGGTTTCAATTGGAAGGTTTTGCCTTTTGGGGAAACTAACAGGAGGCCGGCCTATGTCCGATTTGTAGCATATCCGACGAGTTGCCGACAAAAGTAAAGCATCGTAACACTAACACCCGCCAACAAAAAAAAAAAAAACTGGGATCCATGAGAGTTCCCGATTCCAACCCGCACCACGTAAAGATTCGTGAGAACTCTCATGATCCTTCTATTTCAGGAGTCCATATCGGATGTTCCCAACGTGATCATTCCAGTGGGCTTGGAGTTGCCAGCGAGTGGCTTGATAGGGTCTGACCTTGCGCAGAGAGGTTGAGACCTCGAAAACCGCACGGAGCCCCTTTGGGTGGGTTAAATGCCAGCCTTTGGGCCGATGATGAATGAGTTCCCTTCAGTGAACGTGTGGTAAAATGGAGCCCCGCAATGAAAATTCCGCTTTCCCTCCTTGCGAGCTGAAGTCGGCACCACGAATGTTGCGGAGAACGCCGCTGTAAGACTTATGCTGAAGCAAGCGAACAGAAATCGAGGAACTCAACTGACTTGTTGGGATGATAGAAAGGCAAGTCTGGCTTTTCTGCGTCATGTCATGTCTTGGTGGCTCCCAGCCATCCCCTTAGCTTTTTAGCTTTTTAGCTTTCTAGTAGTGTTTAGTGGGGTTTTCCACTTAGCCCACTAAAAGTTCAACTTGTAGCGGGGGATCTGAGGACAGCTCAGATGCGAGAACCGACCCTCGTGGCTTTTTTCAGGCGGAGAAGGAGATTACGGAGCTCAACGACCGCGTGGGCCGGGGCCCCCGAGATGATCGGCTGCGCGAGTTTAAGTGGGTTCCCCAGAAATCACTGGCATGGCTGGGGAAATGGGCCCAGCGTTTTTTTTTCTTCAAGTTTTTTCTGGTCAGCTTGGGTTCCGCGGTGTTTTTTGGTGGAGTTTCCCTCAGGTCGGGTTCAAGGGAGACTAAAGAAGAACAAAAACGCACATTTTGGGGGCCCCACAGGTCCCCTTCCAAAAATGAGGATGTTAATCAACCACGAATCGGTATCACAATGGGTGGCTTGCCTTTTTTGGAGTTGGAATCCCCCCTATTTAAGGAACACCCACATGCAAGGAAAACAACAATTTTGCAAAGCTCCCAAACAAGACACCCAAATTGTGATATTTTTTTTCACACTCGTGCCCCCTGGTTGATTGGCGGGGTGCCAAATTTAGGATGGAATCCGGATCGCTTGTTGGGAAACACCAAGCTACTGATGGGCATCCACCAGTAGATGGATGGAAGGCTATGAATACTAGTTGAACACCACCTACCAGCTGCAGGATTTTGTCCACTGTAATACTCCACCAGGCTGATTAAAATTAAACCGGCGAGTTCACAAGCCAAAAAGCATGGGTCTCAGTTGGTAGCCCCCTATATCTGATTTTTCACAGCCTTCCTCGGTCGAACGGTGCATGGTATTAGCGCCGCAAGTCCAGAAAGAGAGATGAATCGATCCACCATGTTTGGTGGCCCCAAAAGGTGATCCTGGAAAATTCCTGGGTCCAAACTGGTTGCAACTGAGAGAGAAGTAAAAGGGAGTGAAGGAAGCTGTATGTCTCATTTCCATTCTTGGTTTCTGACCTCTCACAAGCATGGATTCCACCTTTTGGGGGGTTCCCTACAAAAGCCACACCCCATATTATGAAGAATCTGAAGATCTTACTTCTTGGTGTACAGAACTGGGTCCAATGTCCTTTTTGGGAAAGGAGCAAGCACCGGGAACAAGTACTGCATTCGACATTTCCTTCGTTTCCTGCTTGGACACGTGGCTCACGTCCAGTCGCCTCAGGAATGCCGTCGCATCCCTGTTTTGCGGGCACCCCGGCGGCTATGAAGGACCAACCCAAAATGGTTGGTGGACATGAAAGCCCATGATCATGTTGTCCACGAAAGGGCCCCCAGTCAAAATTCACAGGGGCCCGTTTTTTCCAGCCCAACCTGTTTTTCTTCCCTCTTGTAGATGGGCTTCAAAAGCAAGTCGAGGGTAGAAAAAGCAGGGCCCCCATTCTGCCTGATATGAGCAAAGGGTCAATAGTTCCCATCATGTTTTTACTGAAGTCAAGGGATGTCACCCACCAAGCCCTAATGTCAGTTGGGCACGCAATAGTGGATGTTGAGCAATGACCCAATCGACTAGGTACCAAAAGATATCAAACATATCCGAGTGCCATGTGTTTTTCATCCACAGGGACGTCAGTCTGGGTCGATGGCTCATGCCTCATGGGTTCCGTCCCGCACTCCCGCACGGCGGTCGTTGGAGGCCAGCTGCAAACGCAGAACGCCTACCTGGCGAGCCGTGGCCCGTGGCACGGATTGATTCGCGTCGCGTGACGAGTGACGTGAGGTCAGCGTCCCTCGTTGGCTTGGGGCCTTTTTTTTTCTAAGCCTCGTTGTTTGGTGGCTTGGAGCTTGGGGGTTTGGGGGTTCATTGTGATTGCAGCTGCGTCCCTTTTGGAAGGGGTTCAAATCCCCAAACCACCAATGCAAGCCACCAATGAAGGCAAAACAAAAGGAAACCACCCCAAATGGGCTCAGCATTCTTCCCTCTAATTGGTTGGTTGGATTGGGGGGTTTGGTTGAGGACGAGTTTCCCATTTGCATTTTACAAAAACCATAATTTTAAATCTGCAAACCAATCCAAACCACCCAAAAGGGGCTCAGCATTTGAGACCCCGAATTGCTTCCTATGAATACGCGTGTCTTTTTGTTCAGGGTACCGGGTTGAACATTGTCAGGTGTTCTCAAATGTTTACTTTGGGGGCGGTTCCCCTAAAAGCTGCCATGAAGGGAGTATCACGTCATGCTGCATTATTCCAACAGGTTCTTTTTGGACTGGTATTCCTTGCATCCTGAACCATGCTCGCCCCGGTTGTTTACCCATGAATCTGCTGCTCTGTGGGCTTGTCTCAAATGCTGAGCCCATGTTGGGTGGTGTCCTTTTGTTGCTTTTTCTCTTTGAACCCGGTACCCTGATCAAGCACAAAACATGCTCATAGGAAGCAAGAGAGGATCGGACGCGCATAATGTGTGCAGCTCAAGCGTAAATCGCATTGAACGGGCAACCCGTTTTGCATGGATTTCCAAGCTGGTTCTTGTGTCACAGATATTCTTGTTTTCCAATTGGTGCATTGGCAAGTGAATCATTGTTTCCAGCTTGGGGGCACCAGGTGGTTTTTGTTCAGGCACATGTTTGGAATGACACAGTGCGCAGCGGATACGCGTATGACACCTGAGGATTTGACTTATATAGGCATTCTCATTTCACATATTTAGAAGAGCTGTGATTCACATTTGAGCGCACTGTGAAGGCTCGCCACCGTTTCAGTGATGAATCCAGTGCCCAAGTCAAACCCTCAAGCTTGGTGAGGCTCAGTGCTGTGTGGACTTTCTCCTTGTCACTAGATCTTTCGGAGCATTGCGAAGGTGGATAAAAAACACATGTTTTGCCACTTATGGAGAGATCTTTCGGAGCCAACAGCGAATTTCAGCCACTCCTGGAGTCTCCATGACCCTTTAAGAATAGGTTCATGACCCCTTGATTTGGGGTACTGTCCCGTTTTAAGGGTCATGGAGACTTCAGGACTGGTTGACTAGGTCCTCCAGTAGAGAGGTTAGAATAAGTTGGTACCGACTTTTTTTCCTGTAGTCTATTTTAGCAAAAACCCTCCCCCAAAAAAGAGTTACGATAAAAGTTGGCACCCTATCCCAGGCTGTTTTTTGCCGTCCGGGCCAGCGCCGTTGCATCCGTTTTTGTCCCGGGGCCAGGCATCGATGGCCAAGAGGAGGAGAAGGCCTCCTTCAAGGCGCGAGCGAGCCTTCGCCTCCCCCCCGTTCCCCGCACGAGAAGCTGGCCGAGCCGCCCTGGCCGAGCCGGCCTGGCCTCATTTCTAGGTCCCCTAGCAATTGGTGCCCTTCTCTACCAGCCTTTTTGGTTGGGAGGGTTCCCGATCCGTTGGGAGGCTTCCCGATCCTAAAAAATGGACGACAGAGAAAGAAAAGGAGGTACCGACTTGTTCTAACCTCTCTACTGGAGGACCTAGTCATGATTTTACCATGATGAAAGTCAGCCCCTCAGTGGTGGGTGAAAGGGAAACAACCGATTCCATTTTCTGACTTTGATCACCCCCAGAAACCGTCAACAGAATGACCCCGGAAAAGTCGCCACTCTTAGAGGTTCCAAAAACGGACATAGAGAAAACCATCCAAGCACCCAAAAAAAAAACTCGCCCCATTTTTTTCCCGTGATCAAAGTCAGCCCCTCAATTCCATGTTCTGACTTTTGATCACTCTCAGAAACCGTCAAAAGAATGACCCCAGTAGCCTCTTGTAAGTGCGGAGTTGTTCTCATCGTGATATCTTCCCAGGTGCTTGGAAAGCCACGACGGGTACCGAGCAACCGGCGCTCGAACCCGAGAAAAAATGGTCCCACTCATGTCGTCGTTTTATCCAACACCGGGTTTCGAAGGCGGGTGCACGCGTGTTGTGTGGTGTTGTGCTGTGTTGTGTTGTTTTGGTGTTGCTCTGTGCCGGGCCAGGCGAGTGTTTGTGTTGTTATTTTGCCGGTGTTTGTGCTGGTGTGTATGTGTGTGTTGCTTGATTGCTTGCTTGTTTGCTTCCTTCGATTCGAGTTTGGCTTGGATTGGAGATGTTCCAGGGTGGTTTCCCCATTTGCAAGAACGGGTTGGGATCTCCAAGCCACCCAAACCATACGTCTTCGTTCGCGCAGGTCGAGATCCGGAAGGTCTCAGACAAAGCCAGCGACCCTCGGACGTGAAATTCGCGGAGGTCCGATATACATAGGATGACCATTGGAAAACCACCAAAAAGGATTTGATAATTTCAAGCAAGAAATTGGAAAAGCTAGCCATGGTCAAAACTGGGGGCCGAACGGAATATTGATCAACTCCCAGAAGTGTCATCTTGTTGAGGGTGTTTGAGTTGTTTTAGTGGCATGTTTGAGTTTTAAGAGTTAGACCCACCTCAAGTCTGGTGGTGATCTGAATCCAGGCCACGTCCAGCAGAGGGGTCCGGGCCCAGAGAAAGAAAAATCAATCTGTTTGAGGGGTTTTTGGGATGGGTTGAAAGGGAAACCGACCATGGTAGTCTAAGGGTTGATTCCGATTCCTTGTCCCCATTCTTTTCAACCATCCTTCTTTTCAACAACCGGCCGTTTCCGAAACCCGATCGGGTTTCCGGAGATTTTCTAGAAAGAAGGATCCCTGGAAAGAATGGACATGGAAGGTAGCACTAGAAGGGTGGGGGTCCCGAATTTGTAGACAAATATGACTCCCCCATGCCTTCAGTGTACAGTTGCCTTTGAAAGGCCTCGGTTCCGATTCCTCTTTCCCACCTCTACACATGGAAGTGGTCGGACTCGGGAAAAGGGACACCTGCTGGCGGAAAAGGGGGGGGGCAGCAAGGGCGTCCTTTTTCATAGGTAACTGGAAGCTTGCCGTGTCGAGTATCTCCAGGGATTTAGAGGTACGGATGCCTTTCTACCAGCTGAGGCACTACATTCGCCCTATACAAGTGGTATATATTCTATCGAAACTTTTGAGTTATTTTCAGGAACAAACACACACACACAAGGAACATCACTGTTTCGGGGGTCCAAATCCTCCAAAGAACGGCAACCATACCTGGGTGTGGCTCAAAATTAAACAGGAGGGGGTTACGCAGGTTTTGGTCCATGTTTCCACTTACCAAGCTTGGTTCCCTTTTGGGTGCCGGTTTTTTGAGCCACAGCCACCTGCCAGCGGCCTATCCCTTTGGCTGAGCTGCCAAGTCAACGTGCCAGCTTCGCTCAGGAGCTCTCCGGCGAGAACTCCAGGCAACTCCGCAAGCCTTGGGCGTCCTGTGGAGAGATCTTGGGGTCTTAAGTCGACGAGCCTTTTTTTTGCGGGGTGTCACATTTAAGAGGGTCACATCTAAGAGGGAATCCGGATCACTTGCCATTTTTCACGGGACAAGCACCATGCTGATGAGCACAATCCTGGAGACGGATGGAACCCTATGCTCACTTCCTGAGATTTTGGACTTGTTGTTGTTGTTTTTTTTTTGGGGGGGGGAAATCGATTTTTTGCGGTAGGTTGGGTTACGTTTTTGGCCAGTCCACTCAAGTGGGGTATGCCCAGACCTCGGTGGCGCCCCTTTTTCTCTCCAACTTTTGTTTGAGGGGGGTGGGCCCCTTCAAAAAAACGCCAAAAAGCAGGGTGCCATCCTTTTTTCCGATGGAACATCCGGTCAAATGCGTATGCGCAGAAGGGATTCGGACCCCAGAGAACGACCGAACTGCGTTCCTTTCGGCTTACATATAAACACCAACCCGGAAACTGGCACCGGTACCCCCAAGAAAGGACGAGCCCACCTGGGTTCCCTTGCAGCAACAAGAGCCTTCAACTGCCCAAGCTCTTCAAGCCATTTCCTATGGGAGGAAAGCCTCTGGACCGACCGCAATGGATATCTCAGAGACCCAGATTGGTGCAAGCGCACTTCTCCAGGCTCGCGGAGCATCAAACTGAGCAACTTCTGCGTGCACAAAGCCACAAAGCACGGGCACACGAAGTTTCACGGCACACGGCTTCGGCTGACATTCGCCAGGAAGCTAAACGTGAGAAACATCTAACCCTTTCTGTGTACCCCTCCGTGCCAAAAGGGTGTTAGACTAGGTCCTCCCTCCAGTAGTGCCCTTTAAGCCCTTTTTGGTGGAGGGTTCCCCTAAATAGACTACCGAAAAAACTTTGGTACCCTTATTCTCACCTCTCTACTGGAGGACCTAGTAGAGTTGCCCAGAAACGGCAGCTGTTGCGACCGGATCTGGGCGCAGGCTACGTGATGAGATCGATTCCTTCGAGGAGAAGGTGAGACTGCCAGGAGGTTGCAGCAAGAGAACCACTTCGGGTAAGTGAAGACTAGTATGGGATAGTCCAAACCCCATTAAACTAATGGTTGACCCAAATTGGATGATGACAATCCTTAGGCAGCAAGGTTGATTATATGAACCCCGTGTTTTAATGGTGGTTTGAAGCCCAGGGTCGATAGGTGCGGATACCTTCTCTCCCACTAACATGGCACTTGACAGAGAACTCTTTAGATGGTTTTGGGGCAGGCCATTTGAATACAAGCTTCGATGCCTACTTCCCTGCAGGTCAACATGAATCCAAAGACCGTCAATGAGAAGGGGTATTCTTTCGGGGATCCCTTTTTGGATTCTATCTTAATTCGCTTGTCCTTAGGCAAATATGGACCCAAAAAAGGGTGTGTTCTGGGCAAGAGCCCCTTTGGTTGCTCCACAAGTCGGGGCTTCAGATCAATCTGCAGAGTTGCGCAGGGGGTCGCTTGGATTTAAGCCCCCTCCTCTTGAAACATGCGGTGCGTGCCCAACCAAAGCTGTCGACTGAGGTGGTGCAAGTTTGGGATGGGATGGGATCCAAGCTTTTGGGATCTCCAAATTCATTTGTTTTGCTTTTTATTTGTTTGTTGTTCTGGGGGTATCTTCCACTTCTATTCTTTCCAGGAATTCTTCTTTTCAGGAAACCGTCAAACACCCAGGGGAAGCAGCCGGTTTTTGAAAAGAACAATGATTGAAAATAATGGGGAATCAACCCCTAGATTTTTAAGGCCGAACACCCAAGTTTAATCTTTCTCCATCCACGGAAGTGGACACATGGACTCCCCAAACGGGAACAAGTCTCCCAGAACCCTGCTGTCAGCTTCATGATTGTTGGAGGGAGGAGAAATATGAACCAGAATCAGAAAGTTTGATTTTCCGTGTACCTTTTGTTTTGTATCTTCAGTGGGGAGGAGCTTTTACCAAACCTCAACTGAGGGGAAAGCTGTTTGTGTTATGCCCGAAACCGGAACCTACTGTGGATGCCCTACATGTTGAGAGTAAACCAACCACACTCAACCACAAAACCATAGTAAATGACGGTACGCTAAGCTGTTCCCTTGTTCCTCTGCTTGCAATATTTAGAGCATCTGTTGTATCTTCTGGACAGATGGCCCCCATCGGGCAGATGTGGAGCCACTTGCCACAAGCACCAGGGAAAATTAAATCTCTCGTGGGAGTCAGGCGGAGATTGCGAACACTGGTCCAGCATACTGTCATAAAGGAAGGGACAAGTAAAGGCCTTTGCGATACACGCAATGTTGCTCATTGGCGGGTTTGAACCCCGGAGAACGAGTCTAAGTTTCAATGGGCGCGTTTCACAGGTCGGACAGTGCAGCGTTTCCAGCAGCATCCATAGCAGCACTACCTCATTCTACCATTAGGTCATTAGGACATTTAGAGACAACTGCAGATGCCCTTTTGCAGCTTTCTTCAGCCCAAGTATGGGTTTCCTTACCGAGATTGGCTCAACAGATGCATAGAGCTGATAGTGAAATGTGGTAGTTGGCACAATGAACATATTGAACTAGCTTTCAGCTTCCTTCAACACACCTTTCACTGTTGCAACTGCGTGGCAATCAAATGCTGCAGGCTTCAAGCGCATGGGTGCATTCTGGTTGAGGGTACCATTTTCAGGTGGCTTCACAGGGATCACCAATATTCTTAGCGGTTCACAACCCACGTTGAGACGTTAGATGCAACTCTGCGACCATTTCGGTGTGGCTCAAAAATCAAGACCTAGGGCAAACCGCAGGTTTTCGTCTTTGTTTCCATTTACTCAGGGACCATTTTGGGGATTCCTTTTTTGGTCTGAGCCACCGCCGTTTGCCAGACAGCGACCACCATCAATGACACCGAATCCTTCAAGAAAGAGCTGGAGTGCGCCGAGTCGCCGAGCCACAGAAGGGCAACCTCCAAAGCCTCCATTGGTTCGACCTAGCCGGTGTCAGCTGGATTGTGGTCATATGGGTGTGGCTCAAATTAAACAGGGAGGGGCAAACCACAGGTTTTGGTCCATGTTTCCACTTACCAGGGTTCCCGTTTGGTACCGGTTTTTTGAGCCACAGCCATATGCATCGGTTCAAAAGTCAATCGGTTCTGGGCGTTGCTGAAGTGCATTGCTGCTCTTGTTAGATTCTGGCGCCTACATGCACACAGAGACACGCACACACAGACATAACACACACACTTAAACTCCAGATGGAGGGTGCTAATCCTTTCGCGTACAACTGATGAGTCTCGAGTACAACTGATGAGTCTCGAGTACAACTGATGAGTCTCGAGTACAACTGATGAGTCTCGAGTGGGTGCAGGTTCGGCTTGCAGTCACTTGGTTTCCGTCTAGCAGCGAAAACGTTACAAATTCAACATGAAGCACACACAGCGAGAGAAACAACGGGCCAAAAGGACTTTGAATCACACGAGATGCACAGGTACGTCGAGGTGATCAGCCTCGATATCCGCATTTGCTGTGGCCGCTTCGTTGGACCATCGCACACAGCAAACGGATGGTCCCCCTGCAGTTGTATGGTGGCAGGGTGTTCTGCCACTCCGCACACACACGCCCCTCAGTGAGGGGCGAAAAGTCTCTTTTTTCGGGGGGAAGAAGAAGCGCCCGAAAGACGGACGAAGACCCCAACAGAAAACAAACGGAGCAAGAACCCAAAAGGAACAGAAAGGCCCCACGTTGGGTCTCCGCGGGCAAAACCCCAACCAAGAAACACGAAAAACGGGAAACCGAGTTTAGGGTCACCGCCGAGGGCAAAGAACCCCAAACAGTCCAGAAACCCTCCTAAACCTTGTAGAGAAAGAGCACCGCGAAGTTGAAGAACGACACCACGAACACGCCATCCCTAAACGGGCGAAGAGGAACAACCGGAAGTAGTAGTGAAAGGGGAAGAAGAAAAGAAGGAGAGAGCGAGAAAGAGAGAAAGGAGGAGAAGGGCCGAGATGCGTATTTAGGGCGCCGCAGCCCGCCCGGGGAAAGGAGAAAGAAACGCAAGGGAGAGAGAAGAAGAAGAAGGAGAGAAAAAAGAAGACAAAGGGAGCGAGATGCGTATTTAGGGCGCCGCAGCCCGCCCGAGGAGAGGAGAAAGGAGAAAAGGAAAAGGAAGAGGGAAAGGGGAGTAGTATGCGTTTTTAGGGCGACGCATCCCGCCCAGACAGGAAGAGAGGATGAAGACCAAAGCTCGAGGAGGAAGACGACGAATCCCACACAGGGGCCAAGAGGACGAACACGAAATAGCAACGGAAGGGGAAGAAGACGTCAAGCCAAACTACGTGAGGAAGAAGAGGAGTAGGAACAGGAAGACAGACACGAAGACGACGACGAGGAAAAAGGTGAACAACGCGAGGACAACCAGGCCATCCCTAGCGGGGCGGAGGAGGGCGGGTCACGAAAGGCAGCAGGAAGAGAACGGGAGGAAGGAGAAGCCATCCCTAGGCGGGCGAAGAACCAGAAGACGGGCACGCGGAAGACGAAGGCGAGAAAAAAGAACGAAGGGTGAAACGTAGCTATGAAGAGGTGGCTGTCTTCCCTTTAGTGAAACCTCGTTCCTGGTTAAATGTGAAATTCCGCTGATCTATGATAAGCACGTTGAGGTCAAATTTTCCGACAGAGCCGGCCCGGGGTCACACAATGGGTACACCCGAGGATTCCCCACGAATGGGGTGTACACACTTAAACTCCAGATGGAGGGTGCTAATCCTTTCGCGTACAACTGATGAGTCTCGAGTGCAACTGATGAGTCTCGAGTACAACTGATGAGTCTCGAGTACAGAGTGGGTGCAGGTTCGGCTTGCAGTCACTTGGTTTCCGTCTAGCAGCGAAAACGTTACAAATTCAACATGAAGCACACACAGCGAGAGAAACAACGGGCCAAAAGGACTTTGAATCACACGAGATGCACAGGTACGTCGAGGTGATCAGCCTCGATATCCGCATTTGCTGTGGCCGCTTCGTTGGACCATCGCACACAGCAAACGGATGGTCCCCCTGCAGTTGTATGGTGGCAGGGTATTCTGCCACTCCGCACACACACACACAAACAAACAAACACAAACACCCATCTACGCACGAACGCGCGCGCGAGCGCTTAGTCCGCTAGCCCGCTCGCTTGCACGCATGCGCGCACAATCCATGTTACATTCAGCAGTACACATGATTTGAAACTAAAAGATAAAAGCGCCTGCCATTTGCATGTCCAGGCGCGACATAGTGTCCATCAACAAATTTGGTGATCAGCTTGATGTCATAGCCACGAGCCTTTGACTTTCGCTAGCACCATTTGTATCGTTTGCCTTCAAATGTTTCACTCAACACCATTCCAGATAATTGCATGCCAGAGCCTTTTCCTCGCTGCTCTACATGGGAATCAACCAGGGTCATTTTATGCAGGCCGCTGCTCACTTGTTTTTACTTGGGATCTTCTGGAGTTTCCAGTTGCCGTCGTGAAGCCCTTTTCAGACGGTCGGTCATGGACCGATTCTGAGGATTTCTTGCGGAGAACTTAAGTTTAGGGCCCCAGCCCGGTGGCTTGCAACCCCTTTTTTCAACTAACCCCGGATTAATAAGCCCCTGGTTGATTCATAGGGTGTCCCCGTTTGGGATTCAGACCACTTTTGGAGGGGTTTTCACCCGTCTCATAATGGGACGGGTTCTACTTAGATCCTGGGTCCCCCTTTACACCCGCCAAAGCCAAAACCGAGGTGCGTTTTTTTTTTTGGGCCCCTGGGCCCGTGGGCGTCCGAGGAACCCACTTCCGTATCAAAAAAACAACGTGGGATGTGACGAAGTAGTCTTGGGGTCGGATCCTTTGGATACAGCAAGAGCTTCCGGCCACCATGAGTTGGAGAGGTCGCTGGTTGCGAAGTGCGCATGAATGTGTTGTCTAGCATTTGACTATGCGTTGGCTTTGGTTTTATGTGTTTGTTTGAGTGTTTTTCTTTTGGGGGGGGAACACATCCATTCCGATTGTTTGCAACGGTTGCATTTTGAGACGGGCTTCGTCCGATTTCCCGCAGGTACATCAAGCGAGAAGATGTGCTGGACGAAGCTGGTCGGCCGTGTGCCTCAGGAAGGATTGGTCTGGGAATCTAGCAGTTCATTCGAAGTCGCTTCATTTGTCCTACAGAGATGAATCAGTTACTCACTTCATTTGTCCTACAGAGATGAATCAGTTACTCACTTCATTTGTCCTACAGAGATGAATCAGTTACTCACTTCATTTGTCCTACAGAGATGAATCAGTTACTCACTTCATTTGTCCTACAGAGATGAATCAGTTACTCACTTCATTTGTCCTATGGAGATGAATCAGTTACTCACTTCATTTGTCCTGCAGAGATGAATCAGTTACTCACTTCATTTGTCCTACAGAGATGAATCAGTTACTCACTTCATTTGTCCTACAGAGATGAATCAGTTACTCACTTCATTTGTCCTACAGAGATGAATCAGTTACTCACTTCATTTGTCCTACAGAGATGAATCAGTTACTCACTTCATTTGTCCTACGGAGATGAATCAGTTACTCACTTCATTTGTCCTACAGAGATGAGTCAGTTACTCACTTCATTTGTCCTACGGAGATGAATCAGTTACTCACTTCATTTGTCCTACAGAGATGAGTCAGTTACTCGCTTCATTTGTCCTACGGAGATGAGTCAATTTGTTTTTGCAAGCTTATTTGGTTTGGTTTGGCACACCAGTTTCTTTTCTGCATGTTTTTGGATCGAGCTTACCGATCCGGGGTGGGGGGGGGGGGAAGCGCGGTCAAAAATGACGAAGGTTCCTTGAGGAGCCCTTAAGTCAGGTGTTGATTGGACGCATTTTGGAGTTTGTCACTTGTAGTGGGGGGGGGAGGGGCTGCAGAGAGCCAAATGTTGCTAATATACATGTTGAAGATGAACATTTGGTGCAGACTCATAGAGCAAAAGCTCAAACCATGTAACATGGTGCGTTGACCTGGGGGTCTGCATGCAGGCTCCGCACGGGTTACAGATGTTATGGGTCGTTGATCCATCTGCATCCTGAGCCTGAAAAAAAAGAGAGCTAAACGCCGATTCGCACGTCTTTTTGTTTTGTCTCATGTTCCTTCTGGTTTGGCTTGAAGCGTCGCAGGCCCTAGGCTTTCCCAAGGCCTAGGTGCAGAGCCTTTCTTTCAGCGAAGATGCCGCTTTTTTGGAACTGGTGGCAGCTTGCCAGTTCATTACCTGGAAGGATCCATGGTTGCAAGGGGGGTCATCCACATATTCCTTGTTTGCTGTTGGTTTAGCCTTTAACTTTTTGCTTGAAATCAAGTTGGGTTTTCCGTACTACCAGCAACCAAGATTCCTGGGGGTTGTTTTCAGACGTGCATTTCAAGGTTCACGATTTGTTTGTGGTGTTTTTTGGCGCGAAGCTGTCTGACACTAGCAACACTGTGTGGCAAAAGAGGTGGATTCGCTGAAGTTTGCTTGAGGATAGAAAACACATACGGTGGATGGTTGCGAAATCCAGGTCGGACGACCGTTCAGAAGCCCTGGTGTCTTTTTTTTTTTTTTCTCGATTCCCCCGGAAAACACCAAGACACGTGATGGTTTCAACCATGGCAACTCCTTTCAAAGGGTGCGGTTTCCGGACTTCGCGCCCATCGTATCATAAGAATTCGAATGCCGCGAATTCGTACCAGAGGCAACGGCCCATCCTGATCCAGTCCACAGAGTCGGACCTTTTAGAGAAGCTGCAGGCGCGTGTTTTTTCCTCGTTTTTTTCCCGTTGTTTTTGCCTGTTTTTGTTTCCTCGTGTTTCTTTCCTCGCTTTTTGTTCCTCGTGTTTTTTTTTCCTCGTTTTTTGTTTTTTTGGCTGAAGGCAATGGCTAAGGAGTAACGGTTAGTTGCTGGGCCAGAAATCAGACCTGGTCGCACCACCCAAGTTGGGCGGGTTTAAGTTTTTGTAGGGCTACCGGGACCGCTCAAGCCGTCCCGTCCTCAAAACCGTGCGACTGTTTCTTTTGGCTGAGGCCACGAGCTCGGGTCGGTTGAGGGGAACTCGCCCCGGTGAGCTCCTTGCTACTTGTTTTTGTTGGTGTTTTGTTTTTTGTTTCAGGCAAACAAAGAAAGATTTTGGGGTTTGGGGGACTTGAATGTTGGGCCGATCCACTCAAGTGGGGCGCGCCAGGGAACACCATGTATACGTTTGTCGGAGAAAACAAGAAAACTGGGGAAAAAAGGGAAACAGCACGAAACTTGGATACGCTTGGCTTCCCTTTGGAGGCCCAAATCAATCCAAAGAAGAGTAGCCTCAGAGAAGAGTTTCCACCTCTTTCCAACCAGACAGTCCTACGGCTGGGCGGCAAGTCCTTCCGTAGGCTGTCTGGTTTTTGGCGGGCAAGGTGGCTAGAGGCTCTGATTATACCTCCTACTGCAAATACACTCTTTTTTCAGGGTATCATGTCAACACTCTACTAAAAAGGGAGGTACTTACCATGGAAAACCAAGTTTCCCCAAAAAACCCTGAAAAAGCGGGTATTTTGAGTAGGGGTTTTTTGTTTCATGCAGCGGCAGTCGTGAGTCGTGACCGGGGAAAGTTGATCCACGAGCTCTGATGCGCGGGGCTGTCCAAATCATCCCTAGTTCAGCTTGGGTCAGTGGGGCATCACATGGGATCTAGTATTGCTATCAAGGGCTAGTGGGTTCTCTTTGGGGTTGGGTTTAGCCAAGTTAAGGGGAGACTACTATAGTTTTGGGGGAGGCCCTTTGTCGACTTGTGTGGATGGAGAAAGATTACTGGGGTGTTCGTTGCTAAGTTAGCAACGTTGTAGCGGCAAACGTTCGGTTATAAGCCACTCAGTTCAGTTCCCCGGTCAGCGGAATTTCACCCGTTTTATAGGTGGGTTGGCGAATCAATTAACTTGGCAATGCACACCCAAGTAGCTTCTAGTTTCCTTTTGTCTCACTTCCTGAGTTCCTGGGCATTGGCAGTTTTTGGGTAGCAAAATGTTTGGTTGCTTTTTCTGACCATCCACTCGATTGGAAGTGAGTTACGGGAGTTTCATTCCCAACCTTCCAGTCATTCCCCCTCAAACCCAGACCTGTGGATTTCCACATTTCCTTGAGGGAAACTTCCGACTCTGAAAAAGGTGTCAAACAACATGTATTTCCCAAAAGGCGTTCCATTCCCTGTCCGAAAAGCCAACAAAAATATGGCAAGTTAGTGATTTTCTGGAATTGCCATCTGGGTCGGCAGGTGAATGAGTTCCTCTACGAGGCGCAGCAGGCGCGAAAAGGAAAGCGTCCTGGAAGCTGATGGCTTGAAGCCTGTGAAGCGCACAAGCGTTGACGTGCCAAACCAATGCAAACATGACCCCATGTAAGGGAGATGGGACTGATGTAATGTTGACCCCAGGTGAATTTCAACCCCTGCTTATGGAATTGGGAGGTGTCCATTTCTGGGTTTAGTGGTTGGAATCATCACTTTTGGAGGGGAACACAAACCTTTTTAATGGCAAAGAACAAGCTCTTACTTGTCTTGGCCAACTCACTCGATCGGAAGTGAGTGTGTATGTTTCGTCACTGAATAGCCGGGCTCGCTATATTTGTCCCTTCTGTGGATCCAAGCATCACCTTTTGTGCACTTTTTGAAGGAAGCTTCCTGCAAGTGGGGTGATGTTTAGGGGGGAAACGCACGGAAAAAGCTTGGTGCTTGGTCCCTTTGAACTGATTTTCGCCTTGGTTCCTTTGCTTCACCAAACTTGCTGCCCCGGAAGTAGGCCGGATGGCGATCCAGGCCCGGAATCCGGTGCCGCCCATGATCGAGAAGATCGCCCAGCCCGGACAGCTCAGCCCGACATCCGCTCTCAATGGTTGACCCGGGCTTGCCTTATTTGCGCGACCCAAACAACTACATGAATAGATGCAGAACTGAATACTTCGGCATATGTACATATATATATATATATAAGTGTATACGTGCATATATATATACATACATTACTTAGCTAGTGTTGTATATATCATATACATTTGTGTATAGTGTATATCAATATTATATATATATACACGGATATGGGTCGGCAACCCCAGTTTTACCCTTTGGAGTCCCTTTCATGGGTCCAATTTCCCCTTGGAAAGAGGAGATTAATGGAATAGGAGCGCCTTAGCCTCCCCATGAAGGTTAGGGAGATGTTTGTGCTCTAAGCAAGCGGATTGCTTTTCGTCGACCTGCGAAAAGCTCGTGTGAAACAAACGATGTATATAGGCCCTGTTTGGGGGCGAGTCCCCATCATTTCAAGTGCGAAAGGAAGTCTCACTTTCTGAATTCATGGACTTCAAACTTTTGGGAGAAAAATCTTCGTGGCAAAGAAGCAGTTTGATTTTGGTTACTTGTGCCAGTCCACTCAATCAGAAGTGGTGAAGTTGTCAAATGGTGAAGCCTAGTCTTCACCCTCCAGGGTGCCAAGTCCAAAGACTCCTCGGATCAAGCCGCTTGAAGAGGAGCGCAAGAATCCCGTCAGTCAGAGGCTAGTGCTAGATTGGCTCTTTGTCACAAATGCTGCCTTCTTGGTGGGGCACAGTCATCAACGTCTGAATGTACGTTTTTAACACCCCCCCCAGCAAAAAAGAGAGATCAAAGCACGAGCAGACGAAACAGTTGAATAATGTGTGAAGCTATTCTTGGGGTTCCTCATTTCGGGAAGCATCCTTTTTTTATTTACAGTTCGTGGACTTTTACGCTTGGCTTGCCAGCAATGAAAGCTGACAAATCATGCCAGCAACAATGAATCCTCACATCACGAGTTGCACCGTGTCAGACATGGACAGTTTCTTGCTGCTTGTACTTCCGAGACAGTTGGCCATGGGTCAAAACCGCGTACCCCCAATTCTCACAAATAGACTAATATGGGTGGTGCACCTATCCCAAGATGGTACCATTGGTTTTGAACCATGCCAGTTGGAACAAATAGTACTGCTTTCTTTTGGGCAATAACCCTTGCTCATACGTAGTCCTTGAGGTGCTTTCTGTTTATCGGAACCCACATTATTCCTTGTCCATACATTTGAGGTCCTATCGTCTCCCTTTCGGGGGTCACCCTGATCTGTTTTTGAGGCAAGACTCGCAGGCTCAAAATGAATCTTGGTGCTTTTCCTCTTGTGACTTCAGAAAGGAAGTGTCTTACCATGTTAGGTAGCAAGCTTTACCCAGGTTGCCTCATCATTTTAGTCAGGAAAAAGTTTCGATCTTTTGCCAGTCAACTCAGCTGGAAAGAATCATGTCGCCACAATCAACGCCTGGGTAAGTGACCCAGACGCCCAGTGAGTTGCTTCCTTTTTGGGAGGGGGCTTCCCTTTAGCAACGACCGCCGAACACAGAGTGTCATGTTTTCCAATGGCTACTGGGAATCTGGAGTGAAGGTTAGTAAGGGACAATCCCAGCCACAATAGATGCGTATATCCGCCCCTTGAATTTTTTGCATGGGCTTGGTTGGGCTACTTTGATACCAGGTTTTCATATTAAACCAATTGTTATTTCGAGGTTGACAAAGTACGGACCATAATTAACAACATGAGTTTTCCCAACGATTCCATTTTTCTTGGTATGTCTTTACAAAAGAGGAGCATGCATTGGTTCGCCTGGGATCGCCAAAGGAATCCCAACGAATCCCAACGAATCCCAACGGATCCCAACGAATCCCAACGAATCCCAACGAATCCAACGTCCAATCCGACTCGAGCGTCCTCGATTCGAGCGTCGACCGAGCGAGCTGAAGGCTTTTAGCCATGCTCCACGAGGGCCAGCAGCGCGCGGACGCCTACCTCGGGGACCTCTCCAAGTCCAACGCCTTGGTCTCCGCCATGCGCCAGAGGACGGGGGGGTTCCGCCCGTTGGGCTTGCGCCGTCTCGGCTTCGGGATGTTTCGGGTCCGGCGGGTTTGCGGGGTGCGGTTTTTTGGGTGACCCACCTAAGGTGGCGTGTGGTTTTTGGAGGGAGTGGGTCTCACTTTTTTGGTTGGGTCTAAAAGGAAATCCAAAGTGTGAGGGGGGTGCTGCGATCTTGACACGTACCCATGTGTCAAACTAGGGCACCCCCCAGAAACGGTGGGAGCAACCTGAAAGGGTACGTACAACTGTTTTGTTGATACTTGGAGTTTTGGACAAAACAAGTCGTACAGTTGATAGCCAAGGCAACCATGTGAAAACTGAATGTAGCATGGCGAAGGGTTACGTATACGTAGAAAAAGAAAACTGGAATCCAGTTGGTTACATATTTGACCTTTCAAGAGTATAGTAGACACGATTGATGGTTCGGGGTTGAACATTCAGCCAGAGCACCGCCAAAAACGGGTGATTTGAGGTCGGGGTGAAAAGCCCATCCTTTTGCAGCAACCCTTTCACATGCGCTCTTGAGAACAAGCACAAGCAACCTCATGCCGTGGATGGACTCCGACGAAATTCTGCACCACTTTGATGGGCAACCCATTGCTTGCTGGTATTTACACGAATCGTCATTCGAAATGGATTTCTTCCTTACTTATCGTCAGTAACCCCAGTATGCTTACTATGTTTTGAGGGAACTGGTTGCAACTGGCAATGAGATTCTTCAACCACCAGGAGGCTGAGAAAGAGCTTTGGGTTCATAGGGATTTCAGGTATTTGGGGATGTGTTTTTTGAGGGTAAGCTTTCTGGGGGCAGCCAAAGGCTGTTTTGGGGTACCCGTTGCTTTTTGAGACAAACTCATGTCTTTGGTTCTGTTTGTTTGGTATTGCGTTTGTCTTTCCCGCATTGGTGTGACAGTTTCGGCAACGAATCGGCTAAGGGAACATGGCTGGTATACATCCATCACAGAACCACTATATATTTGTGGAGGGTGCCCTTTGTACCAGCTTGTCGCTTTTGTTTTGTGTTTGATGTAATTACTAGCTTCAGCCATGTCATGCTTGTCATTTCCCGCAATGAGGAGCCTGGAAACATGAAACACATGAATTAATGCCGCTGTGATGTGTTAAAACCCATCAGTCTCATCCCTTTGCAATTTCTGTTAGTATTTGGCTTGTCCTCCTTACACTTGCCTTTGTCTCCTCCTGCTCCTTCTGCTCTTTCTTCTCCTTCTCCTTCTCCTCCTTGTCCTTTTCTTCCTTCGCTTCCTTCTCTTTCTTCTCTTTATTATATTTCTTCTCTTTTCTCTCAATCAGTTTAACTGTCACCATCACCTGTACAGTCATCTCCAACAGATGGTTTTTTCACATGTATTGACTGAGCTTTCCTTGAATCTTCAGGAACTATACGAATCAAACGGACCCAGTCATTTGTTATCAGACTTTCCCACGCCTCCCTGACTCCCTGACATCTGGACTTTAGTCACTTGGGGTTGGTTGCCATTTTGTGGGAAACAACAAATTTGGGTGAGGGTACCCCTTGTTTGGTTGATTTGACAGCGAAACAAAAGGAACACCGCATTTGGGGGTCCCATTTGCTTTGCTTGTCTGATTCCAAAGCCATCCAAAGGTACCAAGGTTAATGAAGCTGGAGGTGAAGAAGGCATGATATATCTTGCTTGATTAGACAGCTGGTTCTGTTTACCTGGGTGTTTTTCCACCATGTCCAAAATCCCATTGGTACGGTAGTGCTCGCTATCGATCCCAAGTACGGTGCTGGTCTAGATACCTGGCGAGAAATCCGTCGCTCGCTCCTGCCAGGAACATGGCCCTCTTCAGCCGCACCCAGATGTTCGAGTCCTTCAAGTCTCGGGCGCTGATGCGGTGCCCCGAGAAAACTCCCCGAGGAAATTCCGGGTCCCCGGATTGCGGTGGCGGCAGGTTGAGGCTTTGTTGGTTTGATTTTTTATTTTATTGTTTTTTTAATAACCCGAGAAATCCGGGTTCCCCAGCTAGGTGCCCTTCTCTTAGCCCTGTTTTGGTTGGGAGGGTTCCCCTAACATAGACGAGAGAAAAAATATGATCGGGTACCCCTTCTTCTAACCTCTCAGAACTGGAGGACCTGGCGAAAAAGCTCCCCGCAGAATCCGGGTCCCGCAACGTGGCAGGCAGGTCTGTTGGTTTCAAAGGGATGGGCTCTAAGAACTTCTTGGGAAGACCCGGGTTACCGGCAAATCACAAGTTGTTGGACGGCCGTGTTTGGCCAATCCACTCAAGCGAGCTCTATGTTCACCAATTTGTTCCAGGCATGAAAGATCTTTGGTGGATATATTGGTGGCATGTTGACTTGCCGGGTTTAAGGGTCAGATCGCAAACAAGCAGGACGTGGATGACCGTTTACCCACATAACGAGCAAAATGAAGCTTTCCAATTCAATCACCTGGCTCTTGAGGGTCCCACGATTGTTGGGCGGCTGCCTGATTTTCAATCGCAACCTAAATGAAAACGCAACCATGTTGAAAAATGGGTGCCCTAACTAAAAAACGGGCCAAAAGCTTAAGTGGGTGCAGTTTGAAGCCTCTTTTTCTGGGTCAAGGTTTGGTAATATGCTTGCGCTTGACTAAAAGAATGGACGAAGACAATATTCAAACCTAGGTTGTGGGTTGAACGTTGGGCTGCTTTTCAAAGGGACAAAAACATAGGAGCAACCATTTTACAAACTAGATCAAAAGTGAACGTGGTTGCATGGTGAGAAAATCTCACAGATACAGTGAAGTGAAAGTAGATGGCACAATTTCCCAATGTTGGTTTTATCATCCGCTTCACCACTCGACAGAAAGAGAGTTGTGCCATCTACTTTCACGCTGATGTACTGTTGGCGTCATTTTGACAGGGCTCCTTAAAAGATGCATTTTGCCAATTTGAAACATGGCTTTTTCCACCAAAATAAAGGGAAACCAACCACCATTGACAAGGCAAGGATCCCTGTTTGAGGATGTGACTTCACTGGACCCAGTCGTTCGGCAGAAGCCGAACTCATCGCTGTGACGAGCAAACTTGGCCTGGGGTACCTGGGAGAAGGGATGCTACCCATTTAGGGTTTTTTTCGGTGACGCGCCGAGTTGGTTCCGCGATGGTGCTGTTAGCTGTGGGTGGCAATTCTTTTCAACTTTTGGAGGGGAAGCAAAGGGCCCCTATACACCAACTGCCAAACAAGGGGGCTCTTTGTTTTCCATGGCAATTCGACGGGTTTCTTTTCTAAGACCAAGCGCCTGAGGTTCCCAGGAAAATCCACTGATTTGGAGTTGGACCGGCGTTTGCCGTGGGTTTTGCAGTGTGCGAGAGAAAAAGGTTGGTGTTCCCAATTGGAGTCCGGCAGTTCTTGGTGCCTGGCGTGTTCGAAAAGCCCTTTGGGCGGCGGGGGAAAGGTACGTCATGAACATGGTGGAGGGCGACCGCATCTATGACCTGCATTTGGATGGCCTCTCGGCAGTTCGCAGAGTGGGGAACATCTTCGGCTGGTTTTGAAAAACGGATCCCAAATGAGCAGGGCTCATCTATCTGATCACGGCTGTTGGATGTTTCTTAGGTGTTCAGGTTGCTTGGTAGTGGGCTGCGAAACCTTTTTAAGCTTTTGCAAGCTCATACCGGTGGAGTTGGAAAGCTATTCTACCTCACGAGCAAAGCACTGCTCAGGTTTTCCCTGGCAGCCAAAAGGTGTTTGACCGAAATGCGACAATGAAGATCCGAGGGTGCGTGTGTGTGTGTGTGCCGTCCTGGATCACGGACGATAAAAACCCGGCGGGGGGCCACCGGGGACCAGGGGGGGCGGTGGCCAACGAAGACCCCCCTCTGGTCCCGTGAAAACGTACCCGCTGTTGGTCCCTTTGTTTTTGTGATGTTGGGTCCCCAAAAGTCGCTGTCTGCTTCCTTTGTTGTTGATGCCAAGGGAAGCCAAGGGTTTCTTGCTGTCTTGTCTGCGAGTGAAGCCACTCGAGATAAGTGTGTATACCCACGGCCTGTCCGACATGGCGCCGTGGGCTGGACTCGCCATATGCGGGAGCCCCCTGCGAGGGGATGACGTTCAAAAGTTCAAGTTCAGTTCGCATTCGCATTGCGCTGCCTGCATTTTGAACAAGGCAGCTCTCATGAGGTATCAGGCTCCGGCAGCTTCATTCGCATTGCACTGCCTGCATTTTGAACAAGGCAGCTCTCATGAGGTATCAGGCTCCGGCAGCTTCATGCGCGAGTGACAAGCCGGTCAGACACCGACTTTGCAGTTCATTGATTCACGCTCTGCGCTGACTCAGATCAGTTCAATTCACTTTCACGTTCATGCGATGCCTTGATGCGTGCTTGGGTTTTTTCGTCTTTGTAAATATTTTGCTGTTGCCGCGGGGTTTTTGGCGGTCCCCTGGTGGAATTCCCTCTGTGTGGTTTTTTGTGTGCTCGGGTTTTTCGTCCTTGAAAATATTTTGCAGTTGCTGCGTGTTTTTGGAGGTCCCCTGGTGGAATTCCCTCTGCTTGGTTTTGTGCGCCCGGTTTTTCGTCTTTGAAAATCTTTTGCTGTTGCCGCGGGGTTTTTGGCGGTCCCCTGGTGGAATTCCCTCTGTGTGGTTCGTGTCCGCCCCACCGGGGCTTTGTGTGTGCGTGTGCCGTCCTGGATCACGGACGATAAAAACCCGGCGGGGGGCCACCGGGGACCAGGGGGGGCGGTGGCCAACGAAGACCCCCCTCTGGCCCCGTGAAAACGTACCCGCTGTTGGTCCCTTTGTTTTTGTGATGTTTGGGTCCCCAAAAGTCGCTGTCTGCTTCCTTTGTTGTTGATGCGTGCGTGCGTGCGTGCGTGCGTGCGTGCGTGCGTGCGTGCGTGTGTGTGTGTGTGTGTGTGTGTGTGTGTGTGTGTGTGTGTGTGTGTGTGTGTGTGTGTGTGTGTGTGTGTGTGTGTGTGTGTGTGTGTGTGTGTGTGTGTGTGTGTGTGTGTGTGTGTGTGTGTGTGTGTGTGTGTGTGTGTGTGTGTGTGTGTGTGTGTGTGTGTGTGTGTGTGTGTGTGTGTGTGTGTGTGTGTGTGTGTGTGTGTGTGTGTGTGTGTGTGTGTGTGTGTGTGTGTGTGTGTGTGTGTGTGTGTGTGTTTGTGTGTGTGTGTGTGCGTGCGTGCGTGCGTGCGTGTGTGTCTGTGAATAATATGAATAGGGGTTGACTAAATATGAATCGTCATCAGACATGGTGATGTTAAATGTGTACCCCAGTGGGCCAAGTTGTGGGTAGACGATAAACAAATACCTACTCATAGCTACTCACCTGTTGAGTTCATGGACTTTAGTTTCTTAAAATGGGGAAACCCATTTTAGTGGCAATGAAGGAGCTATGTCCCCCAGTAGTGCCCTTTTACCCTTTTTTGGGGAGGGTTCCCCTAAATAGACAAAACCGAAAAAAGTTAACCTCTCAAATCTGGAAGACCTAGCCCGAGTGTCCCAGTGGGCCAAGGATTTGGGTAGATTTGTTTGACAATTTTTTCGGCATTGGAGCATGGGTCTGGCTTAAGATTTTAGCGAAGCACGCTGGGCGCTTGGCAATTGGTTTGCCTCAAATCCCACGAAAGAGTCGGTTTCCACCCCATTTGTGGTTAAATTAGCTGTCCTTTGTATAGAAGTAGTGACACAATCCAACAAGAGGGCCTTTTTTCCCCTTGAGCTGTGAGAAAAGACAACTTCACACCAGGCCAGCAGCATGTCAAACTGTATGTATACAACACAAAGGACAACGTCCCAGTTGCCAGCAGCTTGAGGCCCCCTTTGTTTTCCAATGCTGACTTGATGTGCTTTGGTTGGATCCTTTTACCGTCGTTTTGGTTGAACACGTTCCTTTTTCCCATAAACCAACACCGAGTTCTGCACTCTTTGCATGGAGCGGCAAGCCGACGGAGCGTGATCTTGGAGTCAAGTCAGACCTTGGATATGCCCCATAATGTTGACCCCAGATTAATAAACCCCTGGTTGATTAATAGGGGGGGTGTCTCCCTTTAGTGGGGATTCATCACTCTTGGAGGGAGCGCGGGACGGGGAGAAATTAATCCTGGGTCCACAGTTGTGGATTCTTGTTATGCCAAGTTGTCCCAACACGAATCGGTGCACCGGCACGTTTTCCGGTACATGACCCCCAGAAGTTGTTTTGGGCTCTTAAGGTTCGGATGCTGTGTTTCAGGGGTCGATTCCTATAGTTCCCCTTTTTGGTGGCTTTAAACATCGCCTTTCTGGCTATGAAAGGTGATGTAAGGGGAAATATAGGGAGCCCGGTGTTTTGGTCTTGTAACTTCCCATGATGGAACATGTTTGCCGAAAAGCCACAAAGCAACTCTAGAAGGGTACCTGGAGTCTGCCTGACCCTTAAAAGATGGGGTCATTTCCCAAAAGAAAGGGGTCATGACCCTATTCTTAAAGGGTCATGGAGACTCCAGGTACCTGAAAAAAACGCTTTCGGCCAATCCCTTGAAGCCTTCCGGTGGAAACCTTCGCATTGAGGTCTTAGCTTTGGCATGCGCGAGATCAAGGAGATGCTGGGCCTTTTCCAGCGCTACGAGTGCTTTGATCAGGCCTTTTCCGCGAACACCGACAGAATCACCTGACAATTCTACAGGAAGAAAATCCAAGCATCCAACAAAACATGTATTTTGCAAATTTCTATTCTTCCTGGATACGGCTTCTCAGATAATTGTTGCGGTTGGTCGCTCAAACGTGTCAAAGCGAGCTTCAAATGTTATGGCTTTGTGGCGTTAGTTCTTAAACAGCAACAAGGGGCGCCTAGTTTTGACACATACCCTCCCTCCCACTAACATGGCAACTGAGAGGGGGTCCCACAAAATGACATTTATCTTCCAGGTACCTCCCCACAGGTGCCATGTTAGTGGAGGAAGGGTACACATATTGGAGGGGAAGCATGCTTTCCAGGGCCCGTTCCCAGCGCAAGCTCCTGAGCAGGCATGTGCCATCGCCAATATTTCCGTTGATTTTGGTCTGTGAATTTTGGATAAGGTCCACAAGAACTCCCCCTACCCTACTTGGGTGTTCGGCCAAGTTAGTAAGTTGTTGGACACCTAGGTTACAACCCACTCATAGATCCCCCCAAGGGGGGAATCAACCGTCCTTTAAGGATCTGGTTTTCCCTAAGATCCTGCACCATGATTCCAATGTGAATACCAGCAAATAATGGTTTCTCATGTTCTCAAAGTGGTGCTGGATTTCGTCCATCAACAGTCTTTCTAGAGTGGCGCCCCCCAAAGATCGACTTTCATGTCCATGTCCAGGTTTTTCAGGGCCAGATGCTTTACTACAGCTGCAAGCTGTGGTGTCTCCAGCATTTTTCTGGGAAGGGTTGCGGAGGGTTCCAGGGCTGTCGGGGACGCCACCTGGGTTTGTCGGTGTCAGGTCTATGTCCTCAGCCTCATTGACAACGGCCTGGATGACGTCCTGCCACGCATGTGATTCATTCTCCGAAGCGAACGGTTCCGGGATGGAGTAATGTTCGAAGGGCGAAAAAACGCAGACTCCGAAGGGTGGGATTGTTGGACTGCCCTTTTTCCGAAAATCCTGGAAGCACGTGGAAGCTGAGAGGAAATAGTGGGAAGACGACTTTTCCAGCCGTACCATGTGGTGTCTCCCTGTCCACTTTGATGATTGTTGGACAGAGGGTACCTGCCGGAAAAAAGAAATGGTGCCGGAAATCTGGGGTTCCTTTGGGAAATATGCCAAATGGGAATCTGCCCAAGACTGCCTTCGCCCTGTGATGAGATGAGCTGGGCTGTTCAGAGGCAATCTGCTAGCTAGATCCTTCCCTGGGCTACGAAAAGATTCAGCCACCCACGTGTGTTTTTTTTAACTGGGGAGTATGGAAAATCGGATTGGTCAACCTATGTTGGAACAGCGTGAGCAACATGGCAACCCTTTCTGCGCGAGGTTCGAAGGGAATGCGAAAGCATCTCAAACAACACATTCCTGTCGAGTACGGTTCCAGCGAAACATTCTTTGCCGCCATTGAAGTGGAACGAGTTCCAAGCAGGGTCACTTGATTGTGAGCCCTCCGTGGGCATTCATGTTTCCAAGAGACTGAGTTGCTCACTCGATCACTGATAGAACAATAGGAACGCAGCGCAAGACACAAGTATCTTCGACCATGACGCTTGGTGCTTGGTCTGGGCTGCTCTAAGATAACGCCCTTGCCCCGCTTGTGTTTGCCAAGCTGCGGCCAACCGTTTGTGGGCCCGGTTCCGGGGAGCAAAGACCCAAAAAGCGTATCCTTCACCAGGGTATCCCTTCACAAAGACGCCGCCCATTTGAAAAAACGCAGAAGGTTGGCGTCAAATTGCGAGCACCTGTTCTAGCGCCTTGGTTCAAAATTTCGCGGATGCTACCCATCCAGAAATGTCCTACTCGCCCAGCGAGGAGGGATGCCTCGATGCGAGGAAGGCATTCTTCTGAGCAAGGGACCACTTTCAGCTGGGTGAAATTAGATGCCCGAATTCCCATTGGTTTAGTGAACCCTGTGTACCTTGAGGGCTTTGTGCCATCTACTTTCTGGTGAAACTTCCGTTGACCGCAGTTGGCCAGTTGACATCCTGTGTTGCCTTTTGCTTGTTGGTGCGAGAGATGCAGAGAATGAGAGATGGAGTTTGACACCCAAAAAACCATCCAACTGTGGTTTCCTTGAAGGGAACCAAAGCCTTGGTTCATTCCATTTCTCATTCCCTACTTATCGCACCGATCGAATTCCAGTTTTGGGGCGTGGCTTCAGGAAGTTGATCAACACGAGCCCCTTGTGCCCTTGGCCGAAGTTGGCCAGGTGCTTTTTTAACGACCCCGACAGTTGGCTGGGTCATGTAAGCGGGTTAATTCGTGGCATCTTCTGAATCACTTTTGCTCAAGGTATCCTCCAAAAACATGTCAACACAGGGTAGAACAACGTCAGAAAGCCTTACCCTCCCTCCAAGGGTTTTGGAAGACTGAAAGACAACTTTCCTTTTGGGCGACCTCCTGTCCAGTGCCACGTTGGCCAGGCTGCGGTGAACATCATCCTCCAAGTCATCTTCCAGCTGCCCTACCTGAAGTCTTTCGACTTGCGGAGGATATCGGTGATAAAAAAGCTAGAACTTCGCTGAGAAAAAAAGCGCAAGCGGGTTGCTTTCTCAACCCGGTCTGCCTTTTGTTGGAAGGGGCGAAATTTGCCGAGCAAGAAACAGGATTGCTTCCTCAACCCGTGTGTTTTTGGAGGGGGCGAAATTAACCGAGCAAAAAACAGGATTGCTTCCTCAACCCGTGTGTTTTTGGAGGGGGCGAAACGGCATCTGTCAAAACTACGCAAAAAGGGTGCCAATTCCTTTCTTTCCCATGGAAATCCACCGAAAGTCTGGAATCAGTGAGAGTTTCAGCAAGACGCAGGTCATGGTTTCCACCTCAAGTGGCAAGTTGAATGGATACCATCATCAAATTGCAACTTTCACTCACGGCTTCTTTCCGGGATCCAGCCAAAGATCCGACAGGAAGCCATTTCTTAGACTCCATGTAATACAGGCGCCTGGCAGCTTTGGCCGGAAGCGGATTGTGTGTGTGTGTGTGCGCGTGTGTCTTTGTGTTTGTTGTTTATTTGTCTTTCTGTTAAAGAGAGGAATGGGAGATTAGATGTCATATGACATCTCCGCCATTCCCTTCCATATCTTAGTGTGTGCGTTTTTGAGGGTACCTTCGCAAAGGGAAAGCAAAAGGAGAACCACCATTGTGGGCCTGCCGCCTGCCTGTTGCGCCAGGGTCGCCCTTGTTCTTAACTTACAATAGTTGTGATGGTCTTTTTTTGAGGGTACTCGTAATTTGACGGTTTTCACGGGAACCAAAAAGGAAAAGCGCGATTTTTCAGGGGCCCCCTGAAAAAAAAAAGAAAACGTTTGGGGAATCCACCGTATCCGGGCTTGCTGTTCCCCAATGGCAGTGGACGATCCGAGTTTGGAAGACTTCCATCCTGAAAGCCCCGGCTGTCCACTTCTGGTTGGTAAGATGGTACCCTTTGACCCTCTCAGGAAAGTAGAGGGCCTCGCGAAAAAAAGCTTCCAGGGAACGTTTTGCGTTAGTGTGGGGCATCTCAATACTCACCCTGCCAATCAGGGCCCTTGCTGTGGGATCCGCTCAAAAGTTCACTCGCTAGTTCTCCGAACAGTTCACTGCCCGGCGGTTGAGTTCATGTGCGGCAACCAACAGAGAAATATTGTTACAGCCGACGTCAACCTGAAGAAACATCAACAGCGAAATTTTTCAACAATGCAAAGCCAAACGAGAATTTGCAGTCCCTTGTCAATGTGCTCACAAGGGGAACATCTGTTGATATACGAGAGGGCTGATTCAGTACGCGTGAAACATGCGTATGGAGGTGCAAACAAGCGTGTGCATATGGCCAGCATGAAACACGAGAGCCTTTGATTGGTGCCCATTGGTTTCAGGCAAATCATCCCAATGACCATTTTCTTGATTTGGTCAATATAGATGCAGAGGCGGCATGAGTTTGCCTAAAGCCAACGTTGCTTCAGAGTTTGCACCTTCATGCAAAGACTGGCATGTTAATTGTGTTTCTGTCAAACATGAATGAAGCCACAATTCCTTGGTTGTAAAACTAAGAGAAGCTCCTGAAGTTCGTCCATCGCAGCGAGTCCTGGTTCGGCTCTTGGTGAAGTCAGAGTGCTTGCCACTGCCACAGGAACTGCTTCAGCAACGAAGGCATCAAAAGAATAGAGGACTGCGCAGAGGGATTGAGGCGTTTGGTTGGACAGAACGCTCTATTCCCTTCAAAAGGAGCGGAGGACGTCTCTGCAGATCCAAGCACGATCCACCGTCAAAAAACACGTAAACAAACGCATTCCGCCAGGCTTGGGCAGGGCATTGTTGTCCATGTGCGCTTGGCGTCAAGGGAAAAACACCAGTACTGTATGCTAGACGGGAGCTGCGTATTCAATCTCGCCTAGAATAGGAACCGCTGGGCTGCTTGCATGTGTGATTGCTATGAGAGTGGTCAATTGAAGATGTGGCTGATATGCGCTGGTGTCTCCAAGTGAGCCAAGATCCCCACCCCACAGGAAGAAGGAATTGGGGAAGGGTGACCCGAGTTTCATGTCTGGGCAACCATTTTACCTTCAAACAATGCTAGCTAAATGGAGTTGCGTCCCCATCCATGTCACTCCCTCAGGTTGGGGATGATCCAAGGAATATCGACTGCCAAACAATAACCCGAGCTGTGGCCTGGCTTTCGGAGTGTCATTCTGTTTGCAGCGGCTGATAGTAGCAGTCTGCTGCTTTTAGCGGGTCCTGGCGTGCCCCAATGCCCAAGGGCCAGAAATGTCAACTCGGACCATGCCCTCTCAGAGAACAACGAATCGTGTCCGTGACGCATGACACATTGATACAAGAATCTTTAAATGGAAAAGCTCTGTTGTTCGGAGATGCACTTCAGAAATTGGAAACGGGCGTCTTAGCAAGGAGCAGCTGAGAGACATGGACGGTGTGACGGGCGTGATCAAGAGCGTAGATGGGGTGCTGCCCCCCAGTTGGCTCGCGCTCGGCCATTCACAGGTTGCAGCCTCTGCCCTCTTCCAGCAGTCCATTCCATTTTAATCTCACCCCCCTATTAATAAATACGGGTCCCCCCCCTCCCCCAATTATAAGAAAATCATCCCAACAATATATATATATGTATATTAATTGGGTTTTTTGGTTTTTTTTTTTTTTGCTTTTCCAACAATGTGAGGGTTCACATAGGATTTGGAGGAAATGGATTGAATTGTAAGGTCCGCGAGAAAGCGGTTTAATAAGGAAATTGTATGTATCATTCTATTGTTTTTCAGTTTACTGGTTGTTTGTTTGCAGCCAGGCAGGTTAGGTAATTAATTAGCCAGCATGTACGGATAAGCAACCTTTTGGGGAAGCAACCTTTTGGGGAACCCACCTTTTGGGGAAACAACCTTTTGGGGAACCCACCTTTTTAAAAGTAGGGCTGGAAGCTTGTTAAAAGTGCCCCCTAATAAGGATTCCAAGACTTTAGTAAGGGTTTAGTATTGGCTCATTAAAAAATCAATTGTGCGGAGTGGAAATCTGGTCCCGGGCCCCGGATTTCGATTTTTTTTATTAATTGGGGTCATTCATTAATAGGGGGGTGAGATTATGGTTCATTCAATGTGCACTTGAGAACTCGGGGGTTTGTTCTTCTTAGGAAAATGAAGAACCCCTAGCTTGGTTCAAGTCTAGCCCGGGATAGTCAAGAAAATGGAGCCCTGCTACTTTCTGTTGCAGGTGGTTTCATAGGAACATTACACAACCAGCAAACCAACAGCAGGGGTTTACCTCCTCCTCTTTTTTCAGTCACAGGGTACCCTGCGATTGCTGGATGTACAACCATGGTCTAATTTTCATGTGTGACTGCAGGGGATGACACCTCCTAGGGCACCAGCTACTAACCTTCCATGTGCTGCTTGCAGCAATCCATATCCATGATTTGGCCATTGTGTTTTGACCATCGAGATTCGGATTCGAAGACTCGGATTGGCCAAGTCTCCAGTTTCAACAGCTCCCGCTGAAGGCTTCTGCCATCGCCGAAGCCATGGCAAGTCAAGTCCCGCGAGCGCCCTCCATTTGGCCTTCTGTGGGCAACCGAACCACTGGATTTCAATGGGCTCCCCTAGCAATTGGTGCCCTTCTCTCCCGTTCCTTTTTTGGTTGGGAGGTTCCCCTACTAAAATGGACAAAAAAGAAAAAAGAAAAAGGGTGCCAACTTCTTCTAAGCTCTCAAATCTGGAGGACCTAGCGGACCCTAAACTTTTGGAGCCAGCACCGAAGCCTTCTCGAACTTTGCATGGCGCTTCCGGACAAAAAGATGTCGCATCCAGCAAACAATGGTATGTTGGGAGTGATGTCAAGCATTGGATGTTGTTTGGGGGACCCTGGTGATTCGTGATTATTTGCGCCTTCTTTGATTCGAGGGTTGAACTACTTCTGCGTGGAGGGACAGGGGCAACTCACCCAGATTCCCACAGCCAGGGGACGAGCCCTAGTAGTCCTTTGCCCTGGAGAAACGTTCGTCATTTTCTTGCTGGTGCTCAATAGGGGGAATGAGGGAATGAACCTAGGAATTCCCTTAAAGGAAACCACTAAAGTTGGATGGTCTATGGGGTTCATTCCAATTCTCATTCCATCGATCGCAAGAGAATGACCTCCCCTCCCCCTCGCTCCCTCCCTCCCCCTCCCTCCCCCTCCCTCCCCCTCCCTCCCCCTCCCTCCCCCTCCCTCCCCCTCCCTCCCCCTCCCTCCCCTCCCTCCCCCTCCCTCCCCCTCCCTCCCCCTCCCTCCCCCTCCCTCCCCCTCCCTCCCTCTCCCTCCCCTCCCACCCCCTCCCACCCCCTCCCACCCCCTCCCCCTCCCCTCCCTCCTCCCTCCATGTGCATCAGCAACGGGCCCGGCCCCCATACGCTCGCTCGATCGATCGATTCCGAGACCCTGAATGTGCATAGCGGCAACCAGCTCCGACTGGCCCTCCACGTTGGCGAGCAGGCAGGACATAAGTTGAACCTGCCAAGAGAACTAAATACATAAATACATACATTGTTGCATATATATATATATTATGTATGTGTATATATATACATAATATACAGAGGTCTGTCGTTTTTGGAGGCTAGCCTTTTCCACGTTTTCAGGATCCCCAAGTGTTTGGCACATACACATTGCAAGTGGTTTTGTTCCTGTGTGTGCTTTTCGGGGGGTTCATCTTGGTTTGCCTTTCTCTTCGTTCTGTTTAATCTTTGAGTGGCTGAGCCAGAGACCGCTACATCAATCCAGTGACGCCTGTGTTTGGCGCAGTGGTCGCCTTTTCTCCTTTCGAAGCGAAGCCAACTCCGAGCCTCTGAATCGGGTTGCGAGACCTGAGAGGGCCCGAAATTGGAATTCCCGGACCTGAGCCCCTTTTCTGTGTTGGTGTTTTCCCGCTGAAGCTTGGGGTCTCGACAATTTGGGTGTGGATCAAACAATTTCAGAGCTGGGGTAAGCCGCAGGTCTTGGTCTTTATTTCCATTTGCCAAGGGGCCATGTTGGGTACATTTGTTTGAGCCACTGCCAAATAAGCTCTGGGGTGATTTCAGGGAGAGTTCCGGGGCTGTTGGTACCACCCGGGCTTATTTTGAAGGATTTCCCTTTGAGATCAACACACAAAAAGGGTGCCACGTGTTTCCCATGGAAACCCACTGTTTTGGGGAATTCTGAAGTCAGCATGCGCATTCTGGTCTCGGTACTCGCGAACGTCAACGGTTCTGCGGATTTAATTGTTTGTCCAGTGTCCAGTGGTTCTCCTTTTTTGTCCTTTGGCGGTTTTCCTTTTAGAACACGTCAGCCATCTCTTCCAGCCCCGTTGTCAGCTTCAATGATCGGAAGGACGGCAACAAACACGTGGGAGTTTCAACCAAAATAGGGAACCCCTTGATGGATGGCTGTTCGTGGGGTAGCGCAACCATGCAGGCTAAAAAAGAAAGAAAGAAAGAACAACAACAACCTGAGACATGCATTTGCCAGGGCGCGTGTGACATAAGATTGATGCAGCATCTAGCGGCAGGCTCTCAGAGAAAAGTTCAGACCAAAACTCCGCGAAGGCCTTTGGAATGGGAAGGATAGATCAGCTCACTTCCTGAGTTCAGGGACTTCAAACTTTTTGGGAACAACATCTCATTGGCAAACGCTACGCTTCGTTATGTTTGTTTCGGGCAGTCCACTCGATCGGGAGTGAGGCCAGGTCGTTACTAGAAGCCGCTGCCGAAGGAAGACTTTCGCCCCGAGACTGGGGTCATGACAGGTGTCAAAGTCAGAAATCAGAATCGGTGGTTTCCCTTTGAACCAGATAGCAGAATACAATCTAGGTCCCCCAGTAGTGCCCTTTTACTCTTTTTCGGGGGAGGATTCCCCTACTAAAATAGACTACAGAAAAAGGGTACCCTTAATCTAACCTCTCCACTGGAGGACCTAGCAATTGAGGCCAGTACGACACAAGTTTTGCATTGTTCTGGCTGAGTTTTGGCGCCTTTCATTCAGGGAAGACTTGAGGATCACAAAACCTAGCCCCGGCAAAGCCTGCCATCCAACCCGCTCGCAAACGTGCAATCGCCAGTTGGAGAAGACTCAGTTGGCCAAAGACGTGGACTTCACAGCACCTCGGAGTGGGAAATATGGGTGATAAGGTTAGACGCTCAAAAATGGATTTCGCACTGGCTTTCCCTTTGGTGTCCTTTTAAATCCATCTCAAAAGGGGGTATGACTCAAAAAGGAGAGACACCAATATGTCGCATCCTGGTTTGGGTTCGACTTGCTTTGAACCCTAGAGAATCTAGGAACCAGCCAGTCTTGCATTGCAAGGGAATGCTTCTTTCAGAGTGGTTCATTTCAATCAATGGCTGACTACTGGACCGCTCTGTTAAAGATGTTCTCTCATTTTTCTTTATTCTGTGGGGTGTACCTTGGGAGGAAATGTCACCGGGTTTGTTAAACTAATTGCTTGTTGTGTGTTCCCCAAGCAGCTTAGATGTTAGGATTCTCCATTCATGCAAGGAACTGCTCCCTGGTACCCCTGCTGCCTCGCCACTTGTCTTTTGGCCACGTGCGGCCCAATTACACGTCGGAACCAGCTGATGGTTGCGTTTGCAGTTTGGGGTCGATGCTGGTTTAACTGTTTGTTGCCAGGAGCATGGTATGGTCCAGTCTGGCAAAATCATTCTTGATCCTTGTTGGGATTAACCCTTACATGACGGGTTTCCTTTGGTTTCCCTTTAAAGTAATATCCTCAAAGGGTGCCCTCAAGAAAAGAGACAAGCCACCCAGTTACTCCTTATTTGGGGGTTATGAAACACATGCCCTCAAAAAAAAAAGAGACAGAAGCCACCCATTCACTCCTTATTTGGGGTTATCAAGCACATGGTTCTGAAAAAATGAGAGAGACACAGAAGCCACCCATTTACTCACTTGGGTGTGGCTCAAAATTAAACAAGAGAACAAAACGCAGGTTTGGGCTTCCATGTTTCCACTGACCGATCGGCCCCATTTTGGAAGTTTACCCTGCTGATGGATGAAATCCCTCGAAGACCGCTGTTTGTGGGTAGTTCCAGGCAGAATCAAACAAAACCTCCGGTTTTTCCACTTCCCGCTCGGGCTTTTGCCACCCATTCTGGACCTCCTTTTGGTTTTTTGGTTGCCCCAGCCACGCTGAAACCCGGGAGCCTCAGAACCGCCGGCAAACGAGGTGGACTCCAGCCTCAGCCACGCGGAGGCGGATCCCTTCCTCGAGACCGCCGCGGCGAGGCCGCGCCCGCGTGACCAGGTGACTGCTTTGGGGCATTTTGCCAAGGGATGTTAGGACTGAATAACTTTTTGCCCACGGATTTGGGTTTTCCACTAAACCACTAAAAGTTAAACTTTTAGCAGGGGAGCAGAAAGCAACCGAGACTGGTGTTGCTCGCCCATAGGGACCTTCTCCTCATATTGACATGTGAGGGCTGAGCGGCACGAGGCATGATATTGACCGAAGGGATTCAAATTTGAAATTCGCCCTGCTGTTTGATTTGTTTACTTTTGGGATATCCAGCGTGTAATTTTAACACATATGTTTTGGTTGAGGGCATAGGTGTCCTTTTTAGAGTTTGATTAAAATAGAAGGCACTGGTTTAGATGGGTTTTGTTCTATTGACCCCTGTAAAGGGTGTTTTTTCTTTTTTCTTGAGCTAGCCCTGGCAGAGGGCTAAGCCTGGCAGGTGGTTGGTTGGTTGGTTGGTTGGTTGGTTGGTTGGTTGGTTGGTTGGTTGGTTGGTTGGTTGGTTGGTTGGTTGGTTGGTTGGTTGGTTTGTTGGTTGGCGCCTCGGTAGGACGAAGGTTTGGGATGGGTGTTACTCGCCTTGTCCCAAGGGTTCAACCGATTTCCAGCGAAGAATGGCCTTGGTATGAACCCCCGGTGTTTTATTGGCGGTTTGAATGCCAGGGTGTAGTCGCTTGCAAGCTCGCACTTTGCTCAGTAAGACCGAGGGCTGTTTTGTTCAAGGCTCAGTGCTCTCTTTTAAAAGGAGACCAACAGGTCCACTGCCGTTGTAGTTTTTTCTTGAAGTCCCCAACAGGTCTCCACCGAATCTTCATACCATGCGGTCCCTGTAAAACAAGCATGGCCATGTGGCAAAACTGCGGGCGCGACGTGTTTTTTTTTCCCCTTTGGGTGCGCTTCTCCAGCGGTCTGTCTGCGTCGGTTTTTGTTTGGCGCCAGGTCAGAGCATCCTTGGACGCAGACGGCCCAACGGCCGCCCCAGAAGGCAGGAGCGGAAGTTTGGGCGAGGGGTGGGTTGGGTTAGGGCCCGGTTCTTTGGCCAGGTGCCCTTTCTCACCAGCTTTCTTGGTTGGCAGGGTTCCCCAGACTACAGAAAAAATCGGGTACCAACTTATTCTAACCTCTCTACTGGAGGGGTGCTGTGGGCGGTGTTTTCGAGGTTCTCTGGATTTCTCCTGTGGTGTTTCGGTGCAAATGGCTGAATGTGTTCTGGGCAAGATACAGCCACCTCGCATCATAAGGGGGCGGTTGCGACCTAACCCATGGTCAAGGTTCCTTTTCAACAGAGAACTTATTGGTTTTCTGGAAGTTGGTGCAGGCGAAAATTGTGTAGTGATGGTTGCATGTATATGCGGTTGATTATTGTTACCTGCAGGATCACATATTGTGATACGTGGTGCCACAGGTGCGTTTTGAGCACACGCAGTATGTGTATATGTGCATACATATATTTGGGTTTCTGGTTATTTATGCACGTAATATACGATACTGTATATACACATCATCTAGCTGCTTGCAATCATGTCCCATCCGCAGGGTATTTGTAGTGACTAGGCGCTTCAGTCACCCTGATCGAATGTGTGCTTGCAAGGCCGTGCCGGACGTGAGCTCGGTGCCTTTGGAGAAACCCTCAGGCGCGGATTTTGTGTGGGATGCTCAGCTTCTTTACAGCTTAAGGGCAAGAACCCAGGCAACCCACCAAGTAACTTACGTATTTTGCAGGGATTCTGGTTATATGTTTTGGCCACGTCGTGATGTAGTTGACTGATTAATTGCTGGAAGCCAAGCGGATTGTGTTGTGCTTGTGTGTTTGTGCGTGTTGTTTGTGTTTGTGTTTGTGTTTGTGTTTGCGTTTGCGTTTGCGTTTGCGTTTGCGTTTGCTTGTTTGTTTGTTTGTTTCCGCGTGCGTGCGTGTGTGGGTGTCACTGTGCCTGTATGTGTGTGTGTTGTGAAATTATGTTTTTGTTTTTGCTCTTTCTCCTGCTACTGTGAACCTACATGTAAATTATATGTATATGTCGTACATACTTGTTTCTATCTCCAGGGTGGGATCAAAGCAACGTTATGGGAACCGTACAAAGTTTTCCTCTCACGCAAGCTGAAGGGTTTGGGCATTAAAAGCGGGTCCAGCTACTCTGACCGGGTTGCTTATATTTCGCCTTTGGGTGGTTTTATACATTTCCACTTTGGTCGACTTAAGTTATTTAAGTGGTTTCCTTTCGGGAGGTGGTGTCAGAGGAAGCATCTCGGCAGCCCTTTGCAGATGGCATGCCCCATCCCTATTTCACCCAGGTTTGGAACACAACATACCCTCAGAGGAGACGCCCCTTTTGAAAATTTGTTACATCCAACAACCACCTGCTTGACAGGGATTTGGATCCTCCAAAGAGCTAATAGTTGTGTGTGTGTGTGTGCGTTTTTTTGAAGGGGACCCCCAACACTCTTTGTAAAGCCACAAACACAGGAAGCCCTCAAAAAGATGTAAACACACATCCATTTCAATGATTTGTTCCTACTGAAAAAAGTCCTTGGTCCTTGCGTTGCAACTTGCCGGCGCAACAAACAGCTTCCTTTTGCAGAAATGAATATAGTGTTAGTTTCCCCCTGTCGGTTTTAAAGGGAATGGAATTCACTACTGGACATATGTTCTCTTCTTTTGTCCGGTGGACTGAAGACGCAAGACATACTTTAGTTTTCCCAGTAGACTTAAGCAAATCGAAGGCATGTTGTGGGTTGTTCCAGTGGGCTAAAGACCTTCCATTGGCTTAAGAACATTTTCCCTTGTTGGTTTTAAAGAGAGTTTATCACTATTGAACATTATTTTCTAATATATGTTTTTTCCAGGGGGCTTAAGCAAGGCCCAAAATGGCAAGAACGCACCAAAGAAACATCATTTATATATATATATAACACAACCAACAAAAAACGCGCCCCGCCCCCCAGCCGCGCCTGCCGTGCCGGCGGTGGGCGGCCCCCCGGTGGGCCTGGGCGGCCCGGGGAACCTGGCGGCGCTGAACAAGAAGGCGCGGCGCGGCAGACAAAGCGCCAGGCCGCGGCGCCAAAAGGAAATGAGAAAGACCCGAAAATTCTGGGGGGAAGCTATCAGAAATCAAGGTGTTTTCCATTAGACCCATAAAAAGTTAAACTTTTTGCAGAGGGTTCAACAGCAACCAAGAAAACAAGTGAAAGACCCGAATTTCGCGGGGAAGCTTCCATGTTCCCGGGATCCTTCCATTTTTGCCGGACATCATCAACAACAATCCAGGGGAAATACTTGAAGTTCTCGAAATGCCCGAAAATTCTCTTTGGGGAAGCTATCAGAAGCTTGCTTAATTACTGTGTTCCTTATGTGTACTTACCAAAATGCCCCAAAAATGGTGGTTTGCCGGTTGTTTGTTTTGTTGTTGTTCTTTTTTGTGGAATCGAATCCCAAGAATGGTACCCTTCTACCGGAAGCTTCAAAACTTGATTGCTATTGGTCAACGGATCTTTGGACTTTAACTTTTTGGTTGAAATCAAGGTGTTTTCCATTAGACCCACAAAAAGTTAAACTTTTTGCAGAGGTGTCAACAGCAACCAAGAAAACAAGTGAAAGACCCGAATTTCGCGGGGAAGCTTCCATGTTCCCGGGATCCTTCCATTTTTGCCGGACATCATCAACAACAATCCAGGGGAAATACTTGAAGTTCTCGAAATGCCCGAAAATTCTCTTTGGGGAAGCTATCAGAAGCTTGCTTAATTACTGTGTTCCTTATGTGTACTTACCAAAATGCCCCGAGAATGGTGGTTTGCCGGTTGTTTTTTTTGTTGTTTTTTCTTTTTTGTGGAATCGAATCCCAAGAATGGTACCCTTCTACCGGAAGCTTCAAGACTTGATTGCTATTGGGCAACGGATCTTTAGACTTCAACTTGTTGGTTGAAATCAAGGTGTTTTCCATTAGACCCACAAAAAGTTAAACTTTTTGCAGAGGTGTCAACAGCAACCAAGAAAACAAGTGAAAGACCCGAATTTCGCGGGGAAGTTTCCATGTTCCCGGGATCCTTCCATTTTTGCCGGACATCATCAACAACAATCCAGGAGAAATACTTGAAATTCTCGAAATGCCCGAACATTCTCTTTGGGGAAGCTATCAGAAGCTTGCTTAATTACTGTGTTCCTTATGTGGACTTACCAAAATGCCCCAAGAATGGTGGTTTGCCGGTTGTTGTTTTTTTGTTGTTGTTCTTTTTTGTAGAATCGAATCCCAAGAATGGTACCATTCTAGGCTTCCAGTTCTGTTCTTTCCAGGGATCCTTTTTTTTCTTCCAGAAATCATCCACAACCCAGTACCCAGGGGAAACAACTGTTAAACTACTGTTTTTTTTGAGCAAAACCATGTTTGAGAATAATGGCTGGAATCAACCCTTAGAAGCCGGGGAACCTATCAGAAGCTGGTTTACTTACCCATGTGTTTATGTGTCGAACTAGGAACCCAACAAATTATGCGGGAAGCATCCGTGTCCATTACCCAGTCAAGAATGGTGGTTTACCGGTTGGTTTCCCTTTGGAATCCCAAGAATGGTACCGTTCAAGGGGAAGCTTCCATGTCCACACCAGTATACTCTGCAATGGTTGTCTCCTTGCTAGTTTCGAATGTATTGACAATTCTGGGGGAAGCTTCCATTTCCATTCTTTCAGGGGGGGGCCTTATGTATCAAACCAGGGGGACCCAAGAATGGTGGTTTTTGTTTGGAATCCCGCTTCCATTTCCATGGTGTTCTAGGGATCCTTCTTTTTCAGGAAACCGTCAACAATCCACTGTTTGACAAGAGCGAGGGTTGAAAAGGATGGTTGGTTCCCTGGGGAAACCCCTTTTGGAGTGGTTTTCTTTGAGAGAAAAAATACTCCAGCCATTATTGGGCGGGGTGGGTGCAGTATTTTAAGACACCCCCACATGGAAACCTCATGTCCTGGATCTTCAGTCACTTTTAAGCAAACAACTACAGTAGCATACAGTAGCAAGCACAACACACACCCATTTTTCCTGCAGACCCTTCGGGGCGCCATGTTTGATGCCCCGCGCGTGGTAGGCACCTGGCAGTACAACGATTCCGTGACCACCGTTTTTGTGGTAAACAACAAGGTTGCTTTTTCTGACCGATCCACTCAGGAAGTGAGAACAAATGGCACCGTAGAATATATGGAAGCAAGACTAAAACCTAGCAGCCATTTCTTTGGTTGAATTGGGAATTTTGAACGGGGATCGCTGCCCTTGAACCAAAGCGAATCGACCTTTCGAAGCAGTTAACCAACGAAACCAAGGGGTGAACCTTCTTTTGCCAGGTCCCTCAGGGGCATGTGAGCCTTTTGGGGAAAGAACACAGACCTTATTTTTTTTGACGGGGCCCTTTTCGCATCAGTTATGAGGGGTCTGGGGAAACATGTCCCTGGATTTTGCTCATGTGGGCATGTCTCGTTCTTCAAAAGGGGATGCCCCTTTTGGGATGGTTTGTTTTCTGAGAACCAAAGTCGGAACACCCATTTCGGGGGGTCCCCCTTATTCTGTCACACGCCCATGTAGGGTTCATGAAACCACAGTGCTTCACGTGAGCAGCGGCCCCGTTGCTTCAGTTTGGGCACAAAACTTTCCAGCTAGAGCATGAGAGCCAGGCCGACATAAACAAAAACAAATATGCGACGTAAAAACCGTGGAGCGAGAAACATGTTGCAGAATTCCGGCGCTCTCAATCCAGCGCTGGTCCCAGCCCCCCCCAGGCAGCTTCGGAATAGCTCAAAGGCCCAAAAAAAGGACTGCCGAACGAACGTAGAAGTCTGTGAGTTATTCCATCGGCGCCGAGACGTCAACATAATTTGTACGATTGACCAATTTCGGAGAAGCTTCCAGGGAGGGTTCCAGAGGCTTGCGGGGCGGTTGGAGATAACCTGGGCCTATTTTGTGCAGCCTGTTCGGGAAACTTCCTTCGGATTGCCCAGGTTTTACCCATGGCTAAGACGGGGTTCTATTGATAACTCCCAGTGGCACCAGTGTCAACAGTTCCTGGGGTTTGGACCGCTTCAGCGGTAAAGAGTTCAGACTTTGGGCGAATCTACATCTCAGGAAGTGAGTCATGAGTTTCCTTTTGGGGGGTGCGGGGTTAGGAGAGCTGCAGGCAGCCATCCAGTTTGGAGCGTTTTCTGCACCAAGCTTACCCTCCCTCCCACTAGCATAGCACCTGTGGGAGGGTACCTGGAAGATCAATCTCCTCTTATAGGGACCAGTTCTGAGGTGCCATGTTAGTGGGAGAGAGGGTACCGCCCTCGACGCCAGTTGACCAAGTCCAAGACGGGGGCCAGCCTTCCGGACCCTTTCAAGAAAAAGGGAACCAAGGGCAAGGCGGGCCGTACCAATCGTCCGGGCGTCGGGTTGGAGGCGTGGGTCGCCTAAACGAAGCCACAAGAAAAGGAATCCAGGGTCCCCATTTTTCGGAATTCGGGTTTGTGAAGATAGCAGCACCCGGGTCCCAATGGCGTTTTCAACCATGTCAAGTGCGCAAAAAGTATCGGTTGGGTTGTGGATTGTTGATTTTAGGTTGTCACTCAAATTCCCCCATGTGGCCGTGGGTCAACACCGATGGTGCCATTTTGGGGCAGGTGCAATTTTAGTCTATTTTAGTGGGGATTGGCTCTCTTGGGGAAGCAAGCTGGTGACCCACTAGCCCGTGTCGGGTGGCCCAAAGTGCGAGCTCTTGGCCTTTGAAACCGCTTTTATTAGCAGCCAGTCTTGGAGGACGTGTTCAAAACTTGCAGAACCATGGGTATTGAACCAGAATGCGTTCTGTGTCACTCCATGGATGGGACAAAGCCAGTGAACGCTTCAGCATTGCCTACTGGTAACTGCTGGCCAATCCCCAGAGTGGACTCAGATGTTAACCCGGAATCCAAGGTCAAGCCAAATTACTTCAGCAATATTTACTTGGATGGTCATCACTCAGGCTTTGCCCACTTGCCCAAGGATCCATTTTTCTATGGTGTTATGTTCATGGTTGTTCATGCTATTGGCGGTGCAATGAGCACAGCACATGACTTGTTGGTTTCCCCTTGGCCCGTTTTTATGGCCCGAAGAGCTGAACCTTTCATGTGGTGCCGAAACCAAGGGTTGACTCACGTCAAAGGGTCCCGGGCCTGGGACCTCTCGTTGATTTGCTCCATACCTCCGGGAGAAGGTTTAACAGCTCGATTTCTCCAAAAGCGCTTGGCTGTGTCATGTTGCAAAGGATTTGGACTCCCCCAACAAAAGAGTTTCGGGTTGTCCATTGCCATGAGACAAGGCGAAGCCTCAAAACATGCACCTGGCTGCAGCTCTAAAGTTGGCCGGTGCCACCTTGGGACGAGCCTTTCAAAGGGGTTGATGCACTTTCGTGTGTGGTCGTGGGGGAGTTTGTGCGTAACTAGTGTGGCCTATGTTATGTTCAGGCAAAAAAGAATACAGGCGAACCACGAAACAGGGAGGGTGGACTGCACAGCTGTAACTAAGAGTTCGACTGCAGGGACGGGGGTCTGTGAAATGGTCAGATCAAGGTTTCCCCCTCAAAATAAAACCCCATTCAAAGGATGGCAAGGACCCAAATTGGATGATGAACATCCTGGAGGGTGAATCAGGTGGTTATATTCACCCAACACCCTCTATTTGCTTTAGATAATTTGATTTTATGTTCCCCGGGTTCTTGAGGGACTCGATTTCACTACTGGACATATTTTCCCACTTTCAGCATTTGAAGACTGGGCTGCCTGAACTCTCCCCCCGTTTGATGCCAAAAGTCGCAGGTGCCTTCCGGAACCATGGAGTGCGCGGGCCGAGGGTTCTCGCGAGGACGAGCAGAGAGGGGAGGTGGTCGCTTCTCAGCGGGGTTCCACTGAAAATCTCCACTCACTTCCTGTCTCCCTGAAAAAACTTCACTCACTTCTATGTTCCTGGACTTTGGCGCCACTTTTTGGGTTTGCCATTTTCGTGGCTCAATAAGAAGTTCGGGAGCTTTCTGTTGGCCCATCCACTCGAGAGGTGCCACAAGCAACAAAGAGAGACCGGAAAAACAACATCTTGGGACCCGGTCGTTGCAGTCGATTCGGTGGCAGTCCCGCAATTTCCCCACGGCCCACGGACCTCTTCCCTCATTCCCCCGTCGAACCAAATGAGGGAACCAGGGAAATCCCTTTGGCTCCCGGCCTTCAGCTGACACAACCTCAAAAGAAGGCAGCCTCGTTCTTCCTAGGGTGGGGTCCCGACACATGTTGTTGAAATGCAAACCATCGAATGTATGCTTGATACCGGCGCTTCGATCATGTCCCCCTGGGTGGTTTCAAACGTTGCCTGGTTGCCAACGAGTCGAGGCAAACCAGAGGTGGTTTGATGCATGTGTCGTGCCGGCTAAGATCATGGATCTTCCGTTGGCGAGGAACCAATTAACATTCATTTCCTTTAATATGAGACCTTAACGGATCATTTGTTTCGGGCATGCAAGTCCATCGCAGGTACAACCCCAACGACCAGACGGTGCAGGCGCAAGCAGAACGGGCGGCAGAGACGGCCATTTGACCAAGGACCCCATTGGAGGTGGGTACAAAATTAGGGCATGCCAATGTCCCTCAAAAGCCTAAAGGGTATGATGTCATTTTCTGCACCTGTTGAGCATAATAGCCACGCTCAAAACCCGAGTTTAGCCTTGCAGAAGTGTATATATGGAGGGCTGTCCCAATTTGTTAGGGTGTGATTATGACTCATTGGTCATGGATGCTTGAAACACAACTAGGATGCCCCGACAAAGGGTCCCCCAAGTGGAGATTCCTCTGAACATGGGTGTCTTGGGGGTTCCATTTTAACTTGGAGAACTTTTGTTGTGTGTTGAGGCAGTTTTAGATCCCGAAGCCCTACTCGTTCCCTTTGCCAGGCTTTGGAATCCCTGGATTTCAGACGAAACGGTTTCATCGTAGGCGTCTTCCAATGTGTAAGCGTTCAGGAAATGTTGACCCAGGATTAATAAACCCTTCCCACTATTAGGGGGGTGGAAACCCCTCCCAAAGTGGTCTGAATCCAACCACTCAAAGGAATTGGACACCCCCCGATCAAAATCAACCAGGGGTTCTACTTAGATCCGGGGTTAACATTATTCCGCGCAACTGCTGGTTTGGATTGTTGGATTTGGATTTGGATTTGAAGCCCTTCTTGCGGAGGGTAGATGGGAAATTACCAAAACAGAGGTAGTTTTTGTTTGTTTTGTATGACCAGCATTTTTTTTCGGGAGTGTCATCATCCAAATTGGGTTCTTGCCCTTTCCTCAACTTTGGGCGACTTTGGGTGTTCACATGGCCCAAAGTTGAAAGCTCCGGGGTTTTCACTTTGGGTTCCCCAAGAGAAACCAAGTTGGGTCCTTGCCACTCTTTCCCTTTTTTTTTAAATAACCCTAAACCCTAAACCCATGGGTTCCCCAAAGCGCCTCTGGGCCAAGAATGGCCACCCCCATTTGGAAGCGCCTCGGCTTCGGGCATCGCCAGGTGCAGCAGGGCCAGGATGGAACGCCGAGGATGCCAAAGATCAGCCCTGTAGCCCAAACCTTCCTTCGAACCGCCGACCATATTTCTGAGAAAAGTCAGGCCTTCCCCCCATGGTGTGTTTTAGTTGTTTGTCATTTCTTGTTGATTGTCAGTGTTTTTGCTTTTCTTTGTTTGTTGTTTGTGCGCGCGGTTCTGCTCATGTTTTCTGGCTGGCTGCAAGAAACGCAGCTTGGCTTGCCGCCAAGAATTGGCCAGTTGCCCCGGAAAAACGCACCAGAGGCCCTGCGTTGTTTTTTTTGGAAAGCAAGCCGCACAGACAACAAATGGTGGTGTTGAGTCCTACGGCTGTGGCTTTTTTAGGGATTCCCCCCCCCCCCCCACAGGAGCACCCACCAACCGACAGGCAGCTATGACCAGTTTCCGGAAGCCAGATTCCGTCGCTTTGCTCACCGTGGAACTCCCGCCTTGCTTGCCAGAGCCAATGACCTTCACCTAGGGCGAAGGGCTCTTTGATGGGTCGCGGCTGAGAGCTATTGGCTGAGAACCATGGCTGAAAACTATGAACCTTAGTTGAAAGCGACCCCCACGCCTTCCCAAAGAGAAAAGTCGCGAAGGATTCTTGCAGCCATCCAATTGGTGTTGGAATGGACTCGGATTCGATTTTTCTCCCAACCTGCCAAACAGAAGGAACCCGCGCGGGAATCGGTTTACTAGGAACCGCAGGTTCTATGGTTTTGGGGTATTCAGGCTTTCTTCTCTTACGGGTTTGTCGTTTAGGATCGTTTAGGTTACCCTTTTTGGGTTGGTTTAAAGGGAGGCCAAAAGGAAGCCAACTATTTTTGGGATGTGGGAGCCTATGCTCTCTCTCCGCGTGATTTTGCGCGAAAGCGTGCTTACACGCAAGGTGCTTGGGCAATCTTTTGGTTGTGAAAGGGCAAACGTGTCCTTTCCTATGAGTTTGTACCAACGGTCCTTTCCTATGAGCCATAATCAAAACCCAGGTAGATGAACGTTAGTAAGGGACGATCCCAACCATAAATAGCTGCGGATGTCCGCCTTCTTAATTCTTGAAGCGTGGTTCTGGGGTGATACCGGGTTTTGATTATACCTCCCACGAGTTTGTACCAACGGTCTTTGTTGCCCTTTCCTTTTTGCCCTTGGCCAAATGGAAAGCCCTGGTTTAGCCATCTCAGCGATTTTCTGGGCGCACCCATGCAGGATCCCTGTTTCCTCAAGGGCAGGAAGCTTGCGAGAAAGAACTGGAAGCAGATGCCTCTAAAGCCAAACGTCTTTGCAAAAGAGGGGGGAACTTGATAACGGGACATTTCAGGAGGGACTTGAGATCAACTGAGCTTGAGTCCAACAAACTGCGCGTACCTGGAGTCTCCATGACCCTTCAAAAGTGGAGACATTGCCCCAAATAAAGTGGTCGATGGACCTATTCTTAAAGGGTCATGGAGACTCCAGGTACGTGCAGTTTAACTTTTCAGGCTGACACATGTTGTGTCCAGGCGTCTAAGCACCCAGTGGATCCCAGTTACTTGGTAGATAACGAGAACCAACCATTTTGCACATGTTGCTCTTGGTTTGCGAATGGGTGGTTCCTTTGTTAGCTACAACTAGGTCCCACAGTAGTGCCCTTTTACCCTTCTTTGGGCGAGGGTTCCCCTAAAATAGACAACAGAAAAGAAGTGGGTACCAACTTGTTCTAACCTCTCAAATCTGGAGGACCTAAATTAAGAATTCGGAAAGCCTGCGTGTGTTTCAGTTGTTTGTCTTTCGTTGTTGATCTTTGTTTTGAAGGAAGAAGACACCACCGGGACTGGGGAAGTGGAACCGCTTGAGGCGCGTCCACGCCCAGCCTGGGGGGGGATCGCCCCGCCTCCGGGGGCGGCCTCAAGCGGCCTTGAGCCCCGGTGCTTGGGCCAGCCGAGTGGGTGGGGTGGTGGGAGCTTTAGATCGAGGGGATGCAACCTCCGAAAGTTCCCTTCGCAGGGAGAGGCTTCTTGTTGGCTCAAAACTACTTCCCTGGACATGAATATGGAGCCCAAGAAGAGGGTTGCTCAGAGAGATTTGACATTTGGGCGTGGCTCAAAATTAAACAGGAGGGGCAAACCGCAGGTTTTGGTCCATGTTTCCACTTACCAGGGTTCCATGTTGGTACCGGTTTTTGAGCCACAGCCGTGTGTGCCCAGCAAGGCTTAACCCATTTTGAAGGAGCCAGGCAATTTACGCGCTTAGTTGCTTAGCAGCTACCCGTATGTACAACTCACCTAAGGCACCTCTGGGTTGACCGTTGACCGGTCACGCGCGGCTTTTACAGAAAGACGGAAAGGACTGAAAGGACTGCTCAGGCAAGCACAGACCGCTGTTTGCCTTGTGACATGGGCCGTGTGGCAGCCTTCCACTCCTTTTCCCCCTGGCTGAAAGCTATGTAATGTTGACCCAGGATTAATAAACCCGTCCCATTATTGGGGGGGTGTTCCCTCCCAAAGTGGTCTGAATCCAACCACTAAAAGGAATTGGACACCCCCCGATCAAAATCAACCAGGGGTTCTACTTGGATCCGGGGTTAACATTATTTGGTCGATCGGCTCGTTCGGGGTGGGCTCGAACGGGGCAGCTTGGCAGAGTTCAAAAGGAGATGAGGTTCTCGGGGGTTCCGCAGCCGGGGGATACCATGAGGGGACCTGTTTGGATCTGTTTGGATCTGTTCGGGCTAAACACGCCGCGTGCTTGGGGATCGAGTTTTATGTCTTTGGAGGCCGGATTATCATTTCGTGTTTCCCCAAGCTAGTTTAGACATCACTTGGAGCGAGTTTCGGGGAGTTTCCTAGGGGCGTGAGTGGATACCAGATTGGCGGTTTTGCGGTGGGGTTCTTGATCCAATTGTTCAGGTGTTTTCTACTGGTAGCTTCCATTTCCATTCTTTCCAGGGATCCGGATCTTTCTAGAAAACCACCAAAACCCCTGGGAAAACAGATGTTTTTTTGTTTTTTGTTTTTTGGTGAAAAGAAGGATGCTTGAAAAGAATGGGGAATCAACCCCAGAGGTTCTCTGTACATTTCCTGGCAAAGGACTAAGCAGACGCCTTGGGCGGGTTGCAAGAAGCCGAGTTGCTGTTCCAGCTTGGGCTTTCAAACATCGAAGGTCACAGCTGACCCTCCGAACGCGGGAAGCGCGGGGAATCCCGCGACCAAAAGAGATGGCTGTTCCTGCGGTTTCGGCTCAAGTCAGTGGAGAAGCATGTGGAAAGCATGCCATGGGACAGCTTGCAGGACATCTCAAGTTTCAAGTGCGGCCGCGTGTTCGTCCAAGCAAAGATCGACGCGAACGGATTTGTGGCGCTCGTCATTGCTCTTTGAACCCTGGTTAAGGCCTGATTTGCAATCACCAAACCTAAGGCACGTCAACCCGTATTAAACCACTAAAAGTGAACAAAAACAACAACAAGGAAACAGCAACAACAACTTTTTAGCCGGGCTTCGCAAAAAGAAACCGAGTTATGTCCGCCCCAACCAAAAAGCGCCACCAAGCGCATCGTTGCTCGCGCCCGCACCCGCACAAACCGCTGGATGGTGCTGGCGCGAGCGCGGGCGCTGGCTCGCTGGACAAGGCGGGGTTCTTGGTTTTTGGGGGCCGGTCCTGGGTTCGAGGGGTCTAAATTCAGGCTCTGGGTGCCTGGTATCATAGTGGCGTTTTTTGTTGTTGTTATTTTCTGTTTTTTTCCCGGCTTCCTTTAGCTCAAGGGAAACCCAAGGGAAACCCACCATTTGTTGGGGCCCACTAAACATGCAGCTCTAGGCAGCGGGGCAGACGGCACAAGTGCCCTTTTCGTGGAATCTCGGATCTCGGGTGCGGCATCTCCATCAAGCGGCGCTTACCCGGAGACATTCACATCGGTCTTGATTTTGTTTGTGGCCTTTGTGTGATTATCCTTTGGATGTTTGGCCTGGTGTCTGTGTGTCTCCTTCCGATGTCGCTCGGAATCGTGCCGTGTGAGCTGGCCGTATGTTGTTGGCCGACTTGTTGCCGCAGGTGTTCTCCGCTTCCTTTGTTTCCTGAGATCGGCCAAAACGCCCAGGGCGTGGTAACAGCCTCACCTGCGCACTGGATTCCGATGGAGTTAAGGTGGCTTCAGGGAGTCTTGAGTTGGTGGTTTGGCAACTTGGCAGTTTTGGGTAGATTTCGGTAGTTTTGCTGTTTGGGTGGTTTTGATACTTTTGTTGGTTGGGGAGTTTTGGTGGTTTGTTGGTTTGGTAGGTTGTCATTGATTCTCCACGATGGCCTGTTTTGCGCTGCAATCAAGGAAACCTGTAAAGAGACACACGGCGCCCTGGGATAGAAGGGCAAAGAGGAAGCACAAACTATACGCCCTCTCTTTTTTTAAATCAGAACCCCCCCAACCACTACTTTGTGGACAGTACTTGGGATGTTGGACATGGGAAAAAGGCAGTTGTTGGGGGTGCTGGTAGATCACGTGTTGTCTTTTGCACGCAAAGCCGGTAGGCTACCTTGTACCACTTGGAGGCAAGTCCGCTTACCACCAGGTGGTCTGCCTTTGGGTTCCCCCTTTTTAAGACCACAAACAAGGCCAAAGCACGCGGCCCGGCATGCTTCTGGCCGCCTGTCTCGCGCTTGCTGTGCTTCTCACCCGAGCACGCCAAGTGTGTGGCGTGTCTTGGCGCCTGCGCGCGCGCAGAGTTGTGTAGCCATGCGGCAAAAGCTCTACATTGAAAGCTGTGACGGCGGGCTAGGCTCCTTAAGCCCTCTGTCATCAATGTCCCCGTCCGGAGCCTCTTTGCCACAATGCACAGCCACAAAACAACCATCGGGTCCGTGCGAAGGGCTGTGGACCCGTGTAGGCCGTGGTTTCCCCATGGCAGCCCGTCAGCCCTTCGTCATCAGCCCGTCCAGAGCCTTAAGGGTAAGCCCATGGCACGGTAGCAAAGCGACCACGTCAGCGTCAGGGAGCGTCGCCACGGCTGACCCTGCGGCACTGCCCATGTTTTCGGGAAAACGCACTCAAGAAAAGACGCTACACACGGAATACAATAATAATAATAGTTGATAATGATAATATATATATATATAATATTTAAATGCTTGGGCCCATTGTATTTTGGTTCCGGATGAAAGTAATTAGCTGGCGCGATTTCTCCAGTTTGGCGAAATCATTCCCTTTAGTTCATACCCACATAAACGATGGTGTGTGTGTGTGTGTCGCCCATCAGGCTGCTACCCGTGCTGCTACTTGCCTGGCTCGGCTTCCTGCTGCGAAAGCGGAGGCAGAAGCCGGCGCTGGCGGATTGCCCAGCCTTGGACGATGCGATCGAAGCACAGCCGAGGCCAGGAAGAGTTCAAAACCCTGACCTCCGGTGAGGGGGGGGGCCTGTAGCTATAGGTGTCCTTTTTGGTTGTTTCGGTACAAAAATAGATGGCGATTCCTGGTTTGCCTGGTGGTTTAATCATCTACCAGGGCCATCTATTTGCCCTGAAAGGACACCTATGCCTGTAGCATCAAATGCAAAGAAAGCGCCAATCCTTTTTCTTTCCAACTTTTTTGCTGGAGGTGGTCCCCTTGAAAATCCACCGGAGGTCTGGGAGCAGTGCCCTAAAACACGCACTCAGACACACACACACACAACACTGGTGCTCAGGGGATCAAAGCACCAGAAAGCCGCGGCTCCTGCCCCCAAAACCCTAGGACACCTCTCTTGCTGCGAGAGATGCAGGGAATAAACAAATGGAAGGAGGTCTGACCCCGAGAAAACCACCACAAATCCAGAAGAAAATCCCCCAGGTCTGGCGGTGTCCTTGCCGGAAGCTCCCCTTTGAGCGGGTTTTCCTTCCATCTTCACCTTCCCCGTAGCTCGCTTCTCGAGCTCTGAGGGCCTTTCGGATCGGATCGAGCGCTGGTGCTTTCCCTTAGCTCCTTCTGTGTCAAACCAGAGAAGTACAAGAATTGAAAGGGAAAACCAGCGCAAGTCTGTGACAAAAAAAGAGCAATTCAAGGACAACGACAAGAATCGCTCCCATTTTTTGTGAATTTGATATTTCCCTGAGTCCCAAGACTTCCATTTGCTCAAGAATATTCCCTTGTTGTAAAGGGAATCGATCACTACTGGACATTTTGTTTATTTATTTTTCCGGGCGAAAACTGCGCAAATGGGGAAGTCCGCAGTCTGCTGACCAAACTGGCTCAGCCGGAAAACTAACATGGGCCACGGGGAAGCTTCCATTTCCCAGGGATCCGAATCTTTTCCGGAAGCTTCGGATCGGATCAGGCCCTTCATGCTCCTCGAGGCGCTGCGGCGCCTGGATGCCGTGCTGCTGCTGGGCCCACGCCAGGCGGACCTCTCCCCGGCGGTGCATTCGGTGCATGGGTTGTCTTCACTGTTCTTGGCATGTTTTTTGGCTTTTTGGTTTTTTGGTTCTGTTCATTTTTTACCGGGGGTCTGCAAAAAAACAAAGTTTTTCGCTACCATACCAAGAGTAGAGATGGTTTGTTGGGGTCTCAAAAGTGGGGACCCCCCCCCAAATGGCACCGAGTTTTCCCTTGAAAGTTGTTTGGATCTCCGTTTGGTTTTGTCCCTTTAAAATCAGTGCCCAAAACAAGTTATTCCTTGTGGACGAAATGTGAAGTAGAATCTAGGGTCCATTTGTTTGGAACCAGAAAGCGTTTTAGGTTCAATTCCTGGAGGTTGCTTCCTTCCCCCGTGACCCAGCTATGTTTGCTTCGAACCTCAAAATAAAGCCACAAGCTTGATTGCAAGTGGGTTGGATCTTTAGACTTTGCTTTTGGGAAATCATGGGTTTTCAATGTAACCCACAACAAGTTAAGCTTTGTGCCGAGGGGTCAACAGCAAACAAGCGAGGGGAAAAAGTTGAGATCACAATCGT